AAGGAGGTTGTAGGGGGAGGGGGGGCGGCGTAAACGCCGAACCGTCAAACGATGGGGTTAATCGTCGCGCGCCTTGATCGCACGTCCCCGCGCGTTTAATTTTCGTGTCGGACGGCGAATTCCGCGGTGTCGTTATTACGCTACGCTAACAGTTTTCGAACCCTGAGACCGTCGCCGGCGCGTTTTTGAATCGATTTTGAAACGTCGCGCCGACCGAATAAAAAAATAAAAAAATCGTCCGGCGCTTGTAAAGTAGTTCGCCGCTCTATGCGGAGGACAAAATATGGAGCGAGTTGCAGAACAATCGTGGCCGCATTGAGAAACGTCGCGCCTCGGGGCGAGCGTTCCGTCGAAACGCCAACGAGCGAACAAAGTTGCGGTTTCGCACGGTTTCGAACCGATTTCTCGCGCTCTCCACGCTATTTTCGCCGAGAAAATTCGATACGTCTGTTTACGAACGCGGAATTCGCGACGGCCGCGCGGTAACCGTAACGGTTTTCAAACGTCGCGCCTTTCAAACCAAAACGTTTCGTGCGTCGAGCGTAGACCTCCTCCCACCCCCGATACGCGTATTCGCCTTTTTTTTTGATTCTGCGCCCGGGGACAAGCGCCCCCCCCCCGCGACCCTTTAATCCGACCCTGAGTACGTACAATGCGTCATTCAGTATACAGCGAACAAAACGGCATGTCCGACGGGACGTGGGTACCGCGCGGTCCGCCGGTAACCTTATTTCCCGATGCGTTTAACACGGATGTGTCGTTCATAGCGTTTTTGACCGTTTTGCCGCGCGCGTGTTAACGTCGAGAAAAAAAAAATCCGTCGTGGACACAACGCGCACGAAAACGAGCGATGTTTTTGAATGCTGTTATTTGTTCGATGTCAGAAGCCGCGCCCTAAAGACCGTGCGTGTTTCCATATCGGTTAATTACCGGTTCTAATGGTTCGCGGTTCACTGTTCAGTCGAACGGTAGATCGAACGAATGCGTAACACCCTGTCGAATCATTACGTTATAGTTGATCTTGTTGTTTTTTTTTTTTTTTTTNTGTGTCGTTCATAGCGTTTTTGACCGTTTTGCCGCGCGCGTGTTAACGTCGAGAAAAAAAAAAAAAAATCCGTCGTGGACACAACGCGCACGAAAACGAGCGATGTTTTTGAACGCTGTTATTTGTTCGATGTCAGCAGCCGCCCCCTAAAGACCGTGCGTGTTTCCATATCGGTTAATTACCGGTTCTAACGGTTCGCGGTTCACCGTTCAGTCGAACGAATGCGTAACACCCTGTCGAATCATTACGTTATAGTTGGTCTTGTTTTTTTTTTTTTTTTTCTGAAATAACACCGCGCAATTACAAAGTACTTACCCGCGCGGTGTTTGGTACGTTACCATTAAACTTGTAACGCCCAAATAAATTATTAAAATCTGTACCGTTTCGATTATTATTTAACGGCGTGTTTTTAATGCGAACAATCACGAAAGTTCGTGACAAAAAAAAAGAAAAAAAATTGTTTTCGGATCGCATTAGTTGTTCATTATGTTTACTATGTGTTTTTCGAATAACCGAAAATCGTCATGAAAAATTTTATTTGCTCCCAGGGCTTAAGTCAAACGATTTGGGCAATTTTTTTTTTTTTACGCAATTTTGTTCGCTTTATTTTTCGATCTAAACGGCATATTCTTACGCAATTTATGCTGAAAATTGAAATAACTTTTATCGCCGTGATTTGATTTTTGTTTGGCGAAATAGGCCGGAGTCGTCACGTGTATGACTGTAAATATTTAATTTTCATTTGTAGCGATTTTCGAAATTTAGTTTGCTTGTATGGAAATTTATACAAAATCGACTCAAGCGCTTCTACCTTGAGACTGAAAACTTATCGTGGTCATTATATTTTATATTTTTATTTTGATAAAATAATTAAAAAATTATCTTTCCCGACATTGGTTATAAAATATGTCATTGTTTGAATAATTTTACTGTGATACGATCTGTTTTCAATTTTTTTTTTTTTTTTGCCAGAATATTTGCTTTGAACTACCACTAAATACTTATAATAACATTTTTTCTTCACGGTATAATTTTTGAATAATTGACGCTTTTCATTAGTTTTTGATTTAGTTTAATTAGTTTTTTTTTTTTTAATTCGCATGAATACATTTCGTTTGGCGTTGTATTTGACGTTAGTTTCCACAAAACTACTAAACATCACGAAAATGCCCAGTTAAATAACAATTTATAATATAGACGATCGATTTAAATTTGTTAATGAATTAAGTTTAACCGGCTCTACTCAGAGTCGTATTTATTTCGCGATGACTCATCGTCGTTGACTGTTGTATTGAAAAATTAAATTCTCTAAGAAAAAGATGTTGATGTTGGAAAACAGTAATTTTGTGAATTTGGCAGGTTTTGTTTTATATCATGTTTATTTTAGTGATGAAAACTGATTTATTTCAGATATTTCCCAGTTTTGTTGACGGTGTATTTTTTTTTTTTTTTTTGAAAAACTGTTGGAATCTGTACAGACAAAAACATTTCAAATAAAATGTACGGACCGAGTGGAAAAATCCGCATCTTTTTTGCGATACGTTACGGCGTGAAAGTTTTAGACGAGTTTTACTAACCGGAAAAAAAAAAAAAGAATAATAAAATAAAAACACAGATTTGCAAAACCAATATATATTTTTCGGTGCGTTCAAAATCTCAAATATACCGGATGATCATTTTACGGCGGAACACGTATTTCTTTTCAATTGTTTTTGTAATTTTTAGAGCTCCATTCTAATTCTAATTTCAGAACAATATCGTGTTTGTTCCCGTTCCCCGCACGCGCCTTAAATTAGTGTAAGGTTTTTGATTTCCACGTCGCCACGTGGACAATCCCCTTCCAACGTCGGTTCGAAACAGAAATACTTTTCTAGAAATCGTCATCACTTATACCGCCTGTACCGCGTCCAATCGCGCAAATGTTACGACAGTTTTGTAAATTCTGCGAGGGGGGTCGCCGAAAATCCAGGAATCCGTAAACTCGACGAAAAACATCAAGAAAACACGCCCGACGAGGGACTTCGTTTTCGTTAAAATACGGTTATTTATATTAGACAATATTATTGTTATTTATTTTTTTTTCTAATTTTATTGTCAACAAGATGACTCACGATCACGCCCGTGACAAGCATTTCACGTACCGTATCGCGTGCAGTTTACGTAGTAACGTCACACGTTTTCGGCGGGAGGGGGGGAGAGGGTCGTATGCGTTTTTCTGCGAGGGAAATAACACTGCCCCCCCCCACTCCACCGCTAGCCACGCAGACACCGCCGGTCGTACCCGCGAAGCGAACACCGCGCGTATTAGTTCACGTTTCACACCGAGACCTCTCTAATCGTAACAATATATCGGCGGAAAAAAAAAAAAACCGTAAAAACCATCGGAGAAAACAAACGAAAATGTCCCGTATCGACCGAAAAACGAAAACGGAAAAAATGTAAATCATTCCGAACAACGGTTGAATGTCTGCAGTATGCGTGTCCGGCCTGTACTGAAATGATGCGGATAATCGCCGCCCGCCAACAGACGTTTCCTATACGCAGTATCGCAATAAAGGGGACGCATATTATCGACAATAATTTTTACGAAAAACGTATTTCTTTTTTTTCGTCGACGAGTCCGTAATCAAACGATACCGTTAATCGTTGTCGTGGGTGTATGCGCGTACGGCACCCGGCTACGCGGACTCTTGTCTATCGACCATCCGTGCCCGGTGGTTTCGATCGGAAAGGCCCTAATGGCCCCGAGCACTCGGTTTTTGTTGAAAATGGGTTTTCTCGTTATTTCCCGCCGACACCTACGTCCGCCGAAATGCGTTGTGACACGATCGCACCCAGTGGCAATAACGAACGGACCCGCGCGAATATGTCGCCGCGAAATGCAATTGTCGTTATGCCGCGTTAACGTCGTTATAATATATCGCGGTAACGGTCCGGGGATTTCGGGATTTCGAGAGCAGCGCGCGCGCGTGTCGCGCGGGTCGATCCGGTCCGGTCGAATTCGATTTTTTTACCGGCCCGCGCCGGTATTCCGAGAGAACGGCAGCCGCGTAGGCGCGCGACTCCGCCCCGGAACGGGTGCACGGGTAGTGCGAGAAGAAGCGAAAAAAAAATAAATCGCCCCGCACAATGTTCCGTCGGTTCGCGTAGCTTCGCGCGACCAAACGGACACGCCGCCGCCGCCGCCGCACTCCGGCGCGTTCCACTCGTTTGACCGCGTTACGCGCGCGCGTACCGCGGCGATGTCGGCCGGTGTACTTACGCCGGCGACGGGGCGATAATAATAAATAATCGCGTAATAAAAAACGCAAACAAAGTGCGATTAAAAAAAAAAAAAAAAAAAAAACGAAAAAAACGCGCACACGTCGCCGTCGCCGCCGTGATTGCCGGTATTGATAATCGTCTGGGGAATATTTATAAAAAAAAAAAAAAAAAAAAAAAACCCAAAACCCGGAGGGGGAACGAAACGACGGTGACGCGGGCGGGGGTTGGGGGGCGGTTTATTTTTTTATTTTTTTTTTTGGTCGTTTTCGTCGTGCCGTACGCGAGTGTGTGTGTGTGCGCGCGCGCGTCGCGCCGGCGGTCGTATTTTAATATAATACAAGCGGTCGACATTATATTGTTATACGCGGTACGTATATACGTATATACGGAGTGCGCGCGAGTGCAGCTGTTTTCGGGGGGTCGAAAAACGTCGACGGCGGCGGGGAGGCGTCAAAAGGGAAAACGTTTCCCGTCCGCGGCGGCGGCCGCGCCACCGTCTACGACGACTCCCGGCCGCCCGTCTCTGTCTCGCTCGCCGCTCTGCCGGGAATAATAATAATAATAACAGCGTTTCGGTGCGGGCGCTAGTGTTGCGCGGCGCGCGCGTTCACCACACCGGGCCCGCGGCACAGTCGTCGTAAACGAGCATGTACCGCCCGGCACAGTCAGTCCGCGAACGCGCGCCGCGCCGAACAGTTTTCGTCCGACGCAGCATGTACTCTACGCCGCCGCTACCGTCATTATCGTCGTCATCCGAACAAACGTTTTCCTCGTCCGTCAGAACGCCGTCGACGTTGCTCTGACACGCTCCGCGCGCCGTCCGTCCGTCCGTCGTCGAGTTTCCGCGCGATCTCACGCGTCTTAATTTCGATTATTTTTTTTTTTTTCGTAATCCTCCGTCGTTGCTATCTGCTCCCGCGACTTTTCGATACGCGCTATTCTCCTTTTCTTCCGTGTTTTCGCCGACCGTCTTCGCAAGTCTTCGGATTGTCGTTTGAGAAAAATAAAAAAAAAAAAAAAACAATTTTTTTCCCCGGCGATCATCCGCCTGGCCGTTTGATGGTCGCACGCGTTTCGCCGATGAGTTCGGCCGCTGACCAATAACCGCCGCGACCGCCGCCGCCGCCGCTCCCGTCGCGAGTATGCGCGTGTTTTTCGCGATACTTGTACTCTCACCGGTGTGGCACTCGGTGTGCGGCCAACAACTGCAGCTGAACGGCACGTCGTCCGCGCCCGCGTTCGACTATGACGCGCCCGACGACTGCGCTTGGAAAGTGCTCGGCGACGGTGCAGCAGACGAGGTGCTGTTGTCGTGCAAGCTCCGGACCATCAACAGCGAAATGGACACCACGAACTTCTCGGCCATCCCGTCCGAGCACACCGTGTCGTTGCTAATATCGTGCGATCCCGCGGTGACGGCCCGCAGCTCCATGGAGAACCAGAGCTTCGCGCACCTGGCCCGGCTCCGGGAACTCGAGCTGGACTCGTGCAAGCTGGCGCAGTGGCCGGCCGCCACGCTCACGGGGCTCAACGATCTCAGGAACCTGACCGTGCGGACGGGCGTGTCCGACTGGCCGGAAGCGGACATGACGATGGAGATAGCGGCCGGTAGTTTCGCGCACGCCGTCCGCCTGGAACGGCTGGACCTGAGCACCAACAATCTGATCGCACTGCCCGAGAACACGTTCTGCCAGCTGCCCAACCTGGTGTACCTGAATCTCAGTCGGAACCGCATACAGGACGTGGGCGACTTGGGCTTCAAGGAGCGCACGCCGCCACCGCCGCAGCCGTTGATCAGCAGCCACGACGACGTTTACGACGTCGACCCGTACCAGAAGAAATCCACGGCAGGCCCGTGTCCGCTGGACGTACAGTCGGTGGACGTGTCGTGGAACCGTATCACCGTGATCCCGTCCAACGGTTTCGGCTCGTTGCGACGGCTCGCCGAGCTCCGTCTGGCCGGTAACGAAATTTCCGCGGTAAACGACCGGCCGCTGGGCGGACTCGCCGGCCTGAAGATTTTCGACCTGTCCAGCAACAACATCGTCTCGCTGCCCGTGGACATGTTCAAAGACGTGGCCGAGAGCATCACGCAAATTTACCTGCAGAACAACTCGATCAACGCCCTGTCGCCAAATTTATTCGTCAATCTATATCAGCTGAATTCGCTGGACCTATCGTACAACCAACTCTCGAGCAAATGGATAAACGACAACACGTTTTCCGGTCTGATCAGATTGGTCACGCTCAACCTGTCCAACAACAAAATAACCAAACTGGCCCCGACGATATTTCACGATTTATATACGCTGCAAATATTAAATTTGGCCGGTAATCTAATCGATTTTATACCGAACGACGCGTTCATACAGCTCCACAATCTCGACACGTTAGTCTTGTCCAACAATAAAATCACCGAAATCACTCCTTTGGCCCTGAACGGTCTGCACGCGCTCACCCTACTCTCGTTGGACGGCAATCGGATAACGGACGTACACGACGACTGTTTCAGAAACGGCACCACGCTGCAGGATTTAAACCTCAGCGGAAACATGTTGAAAACCGTGCCTTCGGCATTACGGGAAATGAGACTGTTGAAAACCGTTGATTTAGGGGAGAACAGGATCGATTTCATAGACCCGGACTCGTTTTACGGTATGTCTAATTTGTACGGTTTGAGGTTGATCGGAAACCGACTGCGGAACATAACTTCGAATTTATTCGATAATTTGATCTCGTTGCAAATATTGAACCTGGCCCATAATCAGATCGATTTCGTGGCCACGGACGCGTTCCACAACATTTCCACCATACAGGCGATCAGGCTGGACGGCAATCGGTTGTCGTCGATCGAACATCTGTTTCGGAACGTGTCCAGTCTGCTGTGGCTGAACGTGTCCGACAATGTGCTGAACTATTTCGATTACGACATGCTGCCGGAACAGTTGGAATGGCTGGACATGCACAAAAACTATCTGACCGAACTGTCCAACAAGAACGGGGCCGCCGTCAGTATCAGGAAGCTGGACGTGCGGTACAACTATCTGTCGTACATTGGCCCGTCGTCGATACCGGACTGCGTGGAGATACTGCTGATGAACGACAACCAGATCATGACCGTGGAGACGGGCACGTTCCTGAAGAAGGCTAACATCACGCGCGCGGACATGTACTCGAATCAGATCGGGCAGCTGGACATCAACGCGCTGCGGTTGACGCCCGTGCACTCGGACCGGCCGCTGCCGGAGTTCTACATCGGCGGCAATCCGTTCCAGTGCGACTGCAAAATGGAATGGCTGCAGCGGATCAACCTGCTGGCCAATCTGCGCCAGTATCCGGTCATCATGGACCTCCCGTCCGTATACTGCAAGCTGCTGTACAACCGGGAGAACAAGTACGTGCCGCTGGCCGACATCAGTCCCGCGCAATTCGTGTGCACGTACAAGACGCACTGTTTCACGGTGTGCCAGTGCTGCGAGTTCGACGCGTGCGATTGCGAGATGACGTGCCCGGCCAACTGCACGTGTTACCACGACCAGCCGTGGTCGTCCAACATCGTCGACTGTTACTCGTCCAACTATACGCAACTGCCCGCCAAAATACCGATGGACGCCACCGAAGTGTACCTGGACGGCAATCTGTTCACGCACCTTTCCAGCCACGCGCTGCTGGGCCGCAAGAACCTGCGCATACTGTTCGCCAACAACTCGGGCATCAGGTCGGTCCGGAACGACACGTTCACCGGGCTCAAGCGGCTGGCCGTGTTGCACCTGGAGCACAACAAGATCGAGCGGTTCGACGGGTCCGAGTTCAACACCGTGGAGAACCTCAGGGAACTGTATCTGCAGCACAACTTGATCGGTCACGTAAGCAACATCACGTTCGAACCGCTCAAGAGCCTGCAGGTGCTCCGGCTCGACCACAACCGGCTGTACGACTACGACGTGTGGACGCTATCGACGAACGTCCGGCTGTCCGGGTTGTACCTGTCCAGTAACCCGTGGTCGTGCGACTGCGAGTTCGTCCAGTCGTTCCGCCGGTTCATGATGCGAACGCCCGGCGGCGACAAGGTGGCCGACTCGGCAGCCGTCACGTGTCATCCCGACAGCGGCTCCCGGGACCTGAGTATCCGTGACCAAAACGTCACCGAGTGCAGTTCGTTTTTCGGATCCATTGTCGAAAACCGTATTGTGCGGGACGTTCTGCCCACCGCGCTGACGGCCATATGCGTCGTACTGGCCCTAGCGCTGATCGTGTACCTGGTAGTCGTGTATCGGGAAGAGTGCCGGGCCTGGGTGTACTACAAATTCGGGCTGAGGATATGTCACAAGACGGTGCCTTTCGAGGACGACCGGATGTTCGACGCGTACGTCACGTACAGTCTGAAGGACGACGGTTTCGTTGCCCAAATGCTGGCCCCCGGGCTGGAACAGGGCAACCCCAGGTACAGGGTAGGCCTGCACTATCGGGATTTCAACGTCAGCTCGTTTGTCGCCGACACCATCGTGGAGGCCATCGAGTCGTCCAAACGGACCATTCTGGTGGTGTCTAAAAATTTCGTCGAATCCGAGTGGTGTCGGTTCGAGTTCAAGTCCGCGCTGCACGAGGGCCTCAAAGACAAAAGGGGCCGGCTGATCGTCGTCGCCCTCGGCGAAATACAGCCCAAGGACGTCGACCCGGAGCTCAGAATATACATGAAAAACGCCGTGCACGTCAACTGGGGCGATCGTATGTTTTGGGAAAAATTGAAGTTTGCCATGCCGGACGTGAGTAAGTCGCAGAGCTTGATGTCCCGGTCCCGGAACGGCGTGAATATTTACGCCACGCCACTGAGAACGTCCTACTCGTTCGCCAGCCAACCGCCGAGAACCGCGGCCGAGAACTGTACGGGTGTGCAGTCCAGCAAGTATTACTTGTCACCGGCGTACGTGGATTCTTCGCAGCATCTTTGGGCTTAAGACTGTCGAAAAGGTAACGTTAACACAGCATATTTTTTTTAGTACGATAATCGCTGTACGGGTTTGACGCGATTGTTTACTGACAACGTGGGCGTACGGGATATTGCGCCGATAAGAACGTGTAAAACCGATAATGGTACCTAACCCGCCTACTATTACGGACGGTGTCTGCCGGTGTCGAACGCGTTAAACGCAATGGTATTGGCGCGAATGTTGTTAACGGCCGTTTTCGCACGGACAATATTCAGCGGCGGAATTTAGGGGGGTTTCAACCGCACCGTCGCCGGGCACAACGGACGAAAATACAAAAACATCAACAGTCTTGTTTTTTACATCACGGACGGTGTACTTATCGCGTATTTTTGGTTTTTTTTTTCGTTTTGTTTTTTCCATTCGGACATTTCAGATCGAATGCGGCGTACAGTCAACAAGCGATAACGATTATATTGATAATGGAGTTTTTCTCATTACAAGGCAGACGGGTAGGCGCGTGCAAAACGGTAAAATCGGGCGTTCCGTCATCATACCTGCCCGGGGAGCGGGCCGGGCGCGGTAAACGCGTTTCGTGTTTTATGCGTTAAGTGTAACGTTTTTCGCCCGGGGACCGACGGGAGACGCCGCGCCAACGTACGCACGGCGGCGGCGAGTGGACGAGAGTTGATAATCCCGCGGTGAAACACAATCGCTGTCATAACGCATAACATACAGAGCGATCGAGTCGTACACGGACCGGCGAAAATCCGAAAATCGCCGGTTCGCGATAAATCCGCGCGTGCAGCCCGCAAACCGTTGTGATTTACACAAGTCGGAGACTCTCCGGCCGCGGGAAACGTTGGCGATTTTTCGTTGGCGGTTTTTCCGCAACGCGCGCACGAGTGCGCGTAAACCAGGGTTCACCCGAATCGCCGGCCCGCGAACGAATGGGGGAAACGAAAATATTGTACAACACTTACAGAACCGTAATGCAGCTCGTTTTCGAGCGAGATACATTCGTCGTGTGACCCGCTAAAAGTATTTTCTATTTTCTGTTACGATCGGGCGCGATTGTTTTTTTTCTACTATTTACACCGTTTCGAATGCTCGTAACACCCAATCGTGTTCGCGTGTCGCAACGTTTACGAACAATAGCGGATAATAATCGACGAATGACATAAGCGAAAACGATGATGCTCTCGTTGCAATCGAATTTTTTTATAACCGTACCCATGTGTCCCGTCGGAAACGCGTGCTTGGCGTTCCGACTGCCCCCGAAACGTTCCCGGATTCGCCGCGCGACCGTTCGAAAACGGAATGGAAACGCAAACGGACCGGTGACCCGTGCGTGATCGGAACTCGACGGACGGCGGCAATCCGCCGAAACGCGTACCGTACGCTGTGCATCGCTGCAGCGGCGCGATCAGCGCACGTTTTTTAGCGCACGCGACTTCACACGTGCGTAAGAATGTTTCCCCGTCGCGAACACACGTTGTTCCGAGTCGTTCGCAAACATAATTAGTCGCTCGCGGGTACGTGAAAAAAAAAAAAAAATAAATAAATAGTTTTACAACAACGACGGCGGGCGTGAAATAAAAGAGTACAAAGTCGTTGCGACGCCGAAACCCGTCGATTTCGCGTGCCGGACTGCCAGCAGCGATCAATCGTTAACGGGAGAAAAGAAAAGAAAAAATTAAAAAAAATATATTTACGGTTAAATTGGATGGCCACGCCGCTGTGCACGGCGTATGCGATCGTCCGGGTGTTGGAACGATCGCGGTCGTAAAGTGCTGTTGCGGCCGAATCGGATTGGTGGCGCGCCTCACTCGTGTCGCCCGACAAATGCGCTACCGTGCCGGAGCTCTTGAAAACGACAGGGTCGGAGAAGCCGCGGGAGTGAGAGACACGGAGGAGGAGGACACGGGGGAAAAAAAAAAAAAAATTAAAACTTAAAACTACGTAATTTTACGTTGGTTTGCATTTACCGCTCATCCCCCGCGAGCGCCTTCGCCATTCGGCGCTTTCGACGTTTAACAGCCGCCTTTCGAGAGCGCGAAAATACGTCGTCAATATTGTTATTTGTTTTTTCTGTTTTTTCTGTTTTTTCCCCCTCCGTTCCGCCGTGTCTACAATAACGCGCGCGCCACTTATTGCCATGCCGCTCGGTCGGAACCGACGTTGTTGCCGACCGTACCGGTGCCGTTTGCCCGTTTTCGTCCGCGGCGCCGTACGGAACATTTGACGTTGTCGCCGAACGGCACGCCGAAAAACGCGGGAACGATATTCCCAGTCGGTTTTCTCGCTTGGCCGGGGGTGGGGGGAGGAGGGGCGGTGTCGGAGAGGGGCGGAATCGGATTTTCGCACGGTCTCGCCGTGCACGCCGCGCATACAATATTGTATACGGTTTAATACAATCCACGCCGAGGCGCGTAAACGAATTATCATTACCATTATGGAAGTTGATTCGAAACGTGTAAACCAGTTGTAATGTGGTGCGCAATAAGCGCAGCGCATAATATTCCTCGCAACAACAATGATAATGACTGTTATGAGTTTAGAAAATAAAAAAACAACACCGCGACGTCCGGCTCGGCCGTCATCGGAATAACTAGTTTGTGTTTTTTTTTTTGTTTTTCCCTTGCCCCGGGAGACCGTTTGGAATAATAGTGCGCGACAAAAAAAAAAAAAAAAAAAAAACTGTAAAATACAAAATGCCGCGAATCCCATTATTTCCCGTACGCGCGTTTATTAATTCTGCTTCATTAAATTCATGAACTAAATTTTGTTTTCATTTTTTTTTTTTTTTCTTTCTTTCTTTCTTCACGGAGATCTCGCGCGTTTATCATACCGCTCGCGTTCAGAGCGCCCAAGTCCTCGCGAACGTGCGCCCACCCCGCGTGTCCTCCCTCTCTCTTTCCGTCCCCGCCGTTTACCTTTTTGGGCGCACTGTAACAACACGTGTATATATATGTACACGTATACAACGGGTAGGTACTGTGCGCGCTCTCCTCTCGGTATTGTCGCGCGTTTTTTTTTTTCTTTTTCCACGATAATAATACAATAACTACGAAATCAAAACGTACCCGCGACGCCCGCCCGCGTGTGCGCGCGCTTTGCCTATTCGTACCCTCTCGGCTCTCGGCGGCGTCTTCCCGTCCTCCTGAATAACGCGCGTAACATCTGCTCGGCGACACGTTTCCCATCTGCCCCGCCGCCGCCGCCGCCCGTCACTCTATCACGCGGTGGCGGCGGCGCCCGGCGTACGCGCGGCGAAACCCAATCGCGACGCCTCGGCCCGTTCGGCGGTAATTAACCCCCTGTCGGCTGCATTAGAAACTGCCGCGCGCGCGGTGGACTTATTGGCGCGTTGACGTTCGTACGCGCGCGCGACGCGGTTCGAGCGAACGCGCCTGCAGTAAAAACGCGACGCCTACGTTACAACAACAATAACGACAACGGTACGGGCGTCCTGTACGGGTATTGTCGCGGTGGTTCGTATCGGAAATCGAAACGTGACCGCCAGAAACAACGTGCGTCGCGCGTACCGGATTTCGCGACGACGAAATATAATAAAAAAAAAAAAAAACAACAACCGTTTACGGGCGACAATCAATTGCGCCCGTCGTACGGTGGTGGCGGCGGCCGGTCGATACCCTGTTCGCATGACGGTTATAATCGCTGTTCGAAATCCCGCTTTGTACACGGCCGCGGGACACGGCGGGTTCGCGTATTGAACGCGGGGCGGAGGAGAAAACGATCCCCGCGGGCGTCCGAAACGCGCGCGCGCGTGTGTGTGTGCGCGCCGCACTGTGTTTGCGTCTCCGCGACGAACGGGCAAAACGTACGCCGGACCGAAAAATCGCCGGACGAAGATCACGACGTATAACCGTGTGTACGTGTGGCGCCCGGACTCGAGTCGAAGAAACCGAAAATTCCGAATAAATGTCGAAATTCGGCGACGGCGGTACACGGGACCGTGGTATTCGGGCGCGTGCGCTCCCGACCAAAACCAAAACTTCAAATAAATGTCGAAATTCGGCGACGATGGGATATGTGTCGGGACCGGTGTCGGGCGTTCTACGGGCGTCGTTAGATGTACGCTACCGACTAACCGTCGCGTCTGCGACAGGTTTTTTTTTTTTTTTATCGGCTATTATTACAGTTTGTTATTAAGTTGCGTTCGATAATTTTAGATCCCGAGCACAACGAAAAAGACACGAGTTCTACAAGAATGTGTTTGTTTTTCTCGGACATCGTTTTTGCGTTTTCGCGCATCGCCTCAAACGATGCGGGATTTCTACCCGGTTACACATTATATTTGAAACGTTTGTCGACGTCGTTTCCAGCGGTCCGCCCCCCTAGGCCAGGGGTCGGGAACATGCGGCTCCTCAACATGAAATCTGTAGCTATTTGGAAAACGCATCAATATCCGGACATTTGAGAGCCCTAAAATATAAATTAAAATTCGATTATATTGCTACCCAATGAAAATGCTTAGTAAAATATATTAGTCGATTTTTGTACTGCGGTATGTTTTTTTTTCGTTTTGACCATAGCGGCTCATTGAAAATCACGTTTTCGCAATCTGTTTTTTAAAAATTGGTCATTCACGCGAAAAGGTTTCTGATCACTGTCCCAGACACTTTTTTTTTTTTTTTTTGATACTTGTTGATTATTAAGTTACCTCCGCTCAGAATCGCTTTTTCGTTCACTATGATTTTTTTTTGCATTTTATACGGGACAATTCAAGCGTGTTCATCCCGTTTTTTCGGTTTTTCCGATGTTTTCGAATACTTTGAATTTTCACAACATTTAAGGAACGTTCTATGGCGATAACAAGTTTGGTTTTTTAAACGAGAACGTAAAAATTTACCTTAAAAACCTTACAAATTTCATAAATAGACGGAATGTTACTTTAAATAAATTTTGGTGTTGACATTTTTGATTTCCATCAGCGCGTTAACGAGATATTCTTCTTTCGTGGGGCGGCACGGCGCGCGGCGTTTGATTAGTGTTTTTTTCATGAAAATCGTCATTATTACAGTTTTTCAAATCATTCGTATAAACGAACTTCGCTCTCGGAATATTTTTTCGTTAGCAATGGTTTATCTTTTCATTTTTTTAAAAACTTAAACGAGTTTTTTCTAGAAAAAAAAACATACCTAATTAAATACATTGCCAACATGCACTGTACACAAATATCGTACGTTTTAGTACCTACTTTGATGTAATAAAATCTTTATCTTCGTATAATATGACGCGTAATGCCTAATATAAAATGTAAATGTGCAGGGAGAAAAAATCAACGTCAACTCCGTAATAAAAATGCAAACAATATTCGTATTAGGTATGTGCGCCGTTAGTGTATTTTACCGTCGATAATTCAAACTTTTAACTATGCGTTCACCTGATTCGGGAGGCGGACGAGTATCAAAGACGTCGAATTAATTATATCGATACGCGCGGATCCGGACAGCGGTTATTTTTTTCCTTTTATTTTTTTTACGGGACCCGTTTTATTATTCAAGTCGATTTTGTGGAAGCGCGTGCGGTTAAGAGTACGGCGCTACGAGCGCGCGTACCGTCTCCGTCTTGCAACCGTACAGATTTGCGCGGCAGATTTGCGTACGGCCGGGACAACTACCGCGTGCTGTTGGTTTAAATATTCGAGTAAACCGTTGATAGTATCGTAATCGCAGATAGGAATATTGCCCGAGCGGACGAGACGCGAGCGTTTAAATATTGTGAAATTTCGCGATGTTCGTATACGATTCGCTCAGAAATATTTACACGATCGGAAAAATAACCGACCGAGTTCCCTTCGTTGTTCCGTTAAAATGTGTGAAGTAAATTGGAAACGGATTTGTGTTCTGTAGGTTCTCGTCCGGGGTAATACGTCACCCCCGGGGTGAAATGGACCCGCCGTAGAGGTACATAAGAAATCCCCGGAGAAACGAAATGAAATCATTTTTCTGCGTACTGTAATTTTTTTTTTTTTAAATCTACAGTTTAAATTGTTGAAAACCCAGTGTTTCAGTGCATTGTGCATATTTCGATGGTGGGGCGACGCAGTGTCGGATTGCCGTGGGAAAGGGCGACACGAATCGAAAAAGATTGAGAACCACTGCTATAGGTAGTGAAAGTGGTGGGGATACGGTTGGCGCAGTTGGCATTATGGCGGTGATAACGATAATAACTGTATTAGTTGAGCACGAAACGACCGAAAGTGTAATATGGTATCTACAGGATAGAAGGGGTTTTTTTTAGCCGTCCGTTTCTAGACGTGGTCAAATTTCCAATAGGGTCATTAGATTTTTTTTTTTATCTGTTTATTGGTATTTGAAAAATGTTGAGTTGTTTCTGTACATTTTTTTTTTTCGATTCGAATTATTATTTACAGTATAATTTTCTGAAATATGCTCTTGATCGTCGCCGATGTGATAATTGATTTGATGTGCGCCTAAGTAATTATTATTATGTTCGTCGGTAAAAACTATATGACGGTGAGAACATTTCGATAATATCATAATATCGATATCTGAAACCTAGCGATCACCGGGCGAAAAGGGAGTCGTCGATTTTTTGTTTTTCGCAAACCACGAAACTCTGGCGAACGTAAAACGTATGCATTAGTTGTCGCCGGTTTTACTAACGAACGACATAATAGCGAATTTTCGGAGAGACCACTCTTGTGTTCTTTCAATTTTAATATTGCAGTGATTTGACTGTTCGACTTACTATCAAACTTGAAGGCGAGACCACTGCGTTCGTATCTTGGCTTTTCCGAATATTTTAATATTTGAAGTCATAAGCGTTTTTAATTTGCGATATTTCGCTCACTCTCGTCTAGTTCGCGAAAACCAACGTACAAACACAGAGATAATGTTCTTCCCTTTAAGTTCGATGACATTTTTAAGTTTTTTTCGTAACTCATATTAAAACTAAGAGCCCGATTCGGTTGAACGCAAATTTGCTATACGTTTTCAAGACGTTTGTAAGACGGACGCAACGGACGCACGCGTAGCGTCCTTTTAACGGTTAGAATAACGGAATGAAAAAGAAACGCGCCGTGGCCGCGAAGTCTTTTTTTCTCGCGTTGATACAAACCGAATTTGGCTTTTGTGCACACTTCGGGGGCGCGCTACTCGAGGTATTAAATCTACTGGAAACCCGGACAAAATGCCGCGCATTGTCCCGTTAATCTCGCCTCCCGCTGTTATATTATTATTATTGCAGTTAGTAATATGAGCTGGTAGCTCGCTTTGACGTTGTTATTATTGTATGCGACGGGGAAAAAAAAAAATCCGTACTTATAATGCTGATTGATAGGCCACTGTTCCGGAGGTGGGAAAGTGGGAAAGGTCGTTGTCAAATAATATAATTTATAGGGTGATTTCGGTTCAAATCGCCGTGCACAGAATACGAGAACACAAGGACTAGGTTCAAACTGTCTCGCGCTAAATTTAATGATTTCAAAGGAAAACATTGTGACATTATGATTTGGCTTTTTTTTCTTTTACCGTGAATAATAAATAACGGACCTGTTGTATTAAATTTTCGCGTCGAAAATTCACATACACCTGAAAACGGTTAGCGAAATGTTTGCGGTTAGTACGATTTACGTGAAATAATTTGTTCTTCGAACGCTTGTAAAAAAAAAAAAACGAACGTCACAGTGAAACCCAATGTATTTATATTAACCGTTCCGTTCGAAATCTGAAAAAAAAATCTCTTACGGTCCGATAAGGATCCGGTTCGCAATCGCATCGGCGGCGACGTTTGATCCGTGAACAATTTCAAGCGATGTTCTTTGAGAAATAAAAAAATGAAAAAATATTATAATAATCTTCCGACGACTACTATTATGCAGGTAGATAATATGCTCATATAATAATATTATAATGTACGATCTTGTCTAGCGTGATGCTGCGCACTATACTCCACTGCCTACTATCCGCCGGTACACGGACCGTAAATAATACAATAATAACGATAAGGAGTGATGCGGTCCGGGCCCGCGATGGCGAGGTGGGGGTGGGGGGGGGGGTGGCGGGGAAACACCTGTCGTTTTCGCGGGCGTTTGCGATGCGCCCGCCCGATAACGCACCGACCGTAGAAGAAACGGCTCACGCGGCCGTTCGGACGATGTTATCTCGGCGCCGCCGCGGCCGACCGGGCCCCGACGGCAACCCGGTCAATGTTTACGACCGCGCGGTTACCTAACGTATATTATACGTCTACGCAAACGGTGGCGCGTTGGAATCCTCGGGGAAATTACCCATATATCCGTGTACATATATATATATATATATCTCATATACGAATACCGTAAACGAAATTATCCGTGGACGTTCTGAAATTTTATTTTTGAAAATACCGACCAGTACCCACGTTGTTGTTGGCGGTGGTGTGCGACTCCGCAAAATCACAAATCAAAATTCGACGTTGTTAGGAAGAAGAAGCGGGAAAAAAGCCGCGTGTACTTCGCGCCGTTGGTAGGCCACATGCAGCGGCTGACCGGTTTAAAGTGTTTAGGATACTGCCACGCGTTAGGTTAGACAGTGACACACGTGATTTATGTATACTGAAAACAACGATAGATTATCGCGATCAAAAACCGATTCTAAGGGGGTAAGTATTATTATAGACGGTCGTCTTTTTTCCGCTTGTGGCCAAGGAAACCGTTAGATGATTAGGGCTATTCAACGTATTCGGTGAATATATCAGTTGTTTAGAATTATTCTTAGTTGAATATTACAATAAAAAAACAAAAACCGTTTTTGGGTAACTTTATCCGTTTTTTCTAACAAAGAAAACCATAAGGAAAATCGAAATGCAGTAACTAGTACAAAAATTTGCCACCATAACCTCGAAGTTGATGATTAAAGCAAGATTTTTGATAGACAAAATGTTTAATAAATAGAAAATAATAATACTCGAATATAGGGCAGAAAAAAAAAACAACTGTATAAATTTAAAATAATCGCGATTGTTTACAATAACATTTATATTAATAAAAAATAATAATATTTAGATTTTTGAAATAGCTGAAAATATTATGAGAACAAGAAGGTTTCGTTTAATACCTATTCGAATTCTAAGAATTTACTTAAAATTAAATAAAACTACTAACTAATATTCATCTGCTACATCCCCTCCCGTTGAAAATTCCCGGGCATGCCACTGGATCTCGGTAAACGATCTAGAAAAAAACCAATTTTGAGTAATAACGTTAGGCCGTGGTTTTGTGTTTATAGAATGATCGTATGTTTATAAAACAGCAAAAATCGGTTTGGTCGAAAAAGCGTTGGTTTTTCGTACATTTCACTGGTGGTTTTTTTCACGGTAATTTGATCGCACGCTCGCAGAAATTATACTCGTGAAATCGAAAACAATTACCACGAGAAAATCATCAAACTACGCGGCGTTCGCCGTAGTCGGTATCGATCGAAACATCAATAAAAATATCGATTACGCTTACGATAATATATGATGCCGTTGTAAAATCCGCAACCGTCCTATTCAGATGTCTACGGAAAAAAAAAAATAACGGCGATTTCGCCTCTTTTCCGCGTGAATCGGTACAACTATACGAAAACAACGATTATTATAATATATGCACGCGGCATAAATCCGTATACCTATAGTATACGTGATAACATAACAGCGTAAATTAGTAAAACAGACGTATCACGTGAAAAACAATTCGGACCTGTGCAAACGTCATCCTACGTAATATAACCGCGGAGCTGACGCGGGCCAACTTTTTGTCACGTACATACCTATACCTATAATTGTTCTCTGCCCAAACTGCGATTTTGTAAAGGTCACGCGATTTTGCCCGGGAGCTTTTGCAGGAACGTGTATCGTCCGGTCCGTGCGAAATGTCCCGCCGAACGTTTTCGACATACGTCCGCGAACGCGTATGTGCACATATTATAATATTATACACAAATGTTAAACAATGCCCCCCCCTCAATGGCGGAACTGTAGATTTTCAATCGCTAAATTGAACACGAAACGACCTTATTTCGACTTATCGACTATATCTGTTATCAGCTGTTTATCTCGGATAAATATTTTATGCCTGGATGGAAATATCGGTTATATTTCCCAACACTGTTTATAGGTTAGAACACTGTCGCTAAAACATCGTCAGACAGACGCAGGTAATATTATACAATACGCGATTGCGAAAATAAAATATCGACAGTCACCCGGTAGAATTGTATATCATATAGTATTTCGGCTGTGACGTTTGAATCGGTTGGCGTGAAGGTGTCTCGAGAGGCGTTCGAGTTTAAAAAAAAAAAAAATAAATAAAAGTAACGTTTTTAAAATCGCAACAATTTTCACCGCCCCGCTGAAGCGTATTTACAGACCTTATACGAGTGCGGTCCAGGCGGTGGTATGTAAATACGAAACCCGTCGCGGTTTTTCATAGACCTAGACCTAGACCTAGACCTAACCCGACGCTAAATACCTCGGAAGATTATCGGTTTTCGTTCAACGGGTAGACTAAGTTTTTCGATCTCACCACTGTCTTTTTTTTTGATCCCCCGGGGTGACTTTTTATCGATTATAGTTAGGTAGTAGATTTAGATTTACACTTAGGATATTAACTTCCTTGTGGCAAAGTACCGATTCGGTTCGGACGAACAAGTATACAATAGGTGTTTTGTGTGTCTTCCAAAACCTCCTCGAGACTCTTAACACCAACTATTAGATAACTTTTCGACTGGAGCCGAACTCGGATAGACTCTGTTAATACGCCGCCTGAAAATCGCACGCACACGTATGTTATAAGGATTTGTTTAATTTTTCTAATTTTTTTTTTCACCGCGTCGTGTAAAATGCCGTTTTAGCGAACAATAATAATTATTGTATTATCGCACCGTTAGTGTTTACTGCGTGTACGAATCGCGCGGAGTGGTATTAAAAAACGTCAAAGCGCCCTTTTCAGAGAAATGCAATAAACTCCTCCGGCGCTCGTAATAATAATATTTATTTTTAATGTTGCTGCCGAACAATGTGTTCACGGAGAATTTCAATGGCCGCGAGTCGGAAGGAAACTCGGTAATATAATAAAATATTATTTTACGTTTAATATGAAAAAATTCGCGCGTTTCGATCGGACTCAAAGACGCGTAATAGCCCGCAGCGGTGTTTTCCAAAGTTAAACTAAAATACAAAGATAAAAAACATTCGCTAGAATAATATTATATGTAGATGAAGATAATAGAAACTATAAGAAAGTTTTTATCTAGATCGAAAAAGAGAAAGAAAATATTGTTCGTTATATACAAGTACTACCTATCATAAAATTAAGTGCTAAAAGTGATAAAAATGTTTCGGATTTGGTGCACCATCGGATTTCAATAAGGTGCTATTGATGCGAAATTTAATACCTATAACTAAATATAGTTTGTTGAACCATATAAATTAAATATTTAGCTGCGACTATGCATTTTTATAATAAATATACAGAAATTACGATTCAAAAAGATACATCTAGATGATCCGATTATTTACTCAGACAATGGTTCGGATAGTATTTATTTTTCATTATTATCTAGATAGGGAAAAAACACAAAAATATCTTGATAAAACACTCCACCGGCAATAACTTTACGCGCGCGCGCTTATCACGATCGAACAAACGACGAAATCCGTGTAAAAAAAAAATAAAAGCTATTAAAATATTACCGTCGTTATAGCCATCGCGGCGTTTGTTTCTGTTTGTGCGCACGTATCGTTGTGGTTAGTACCGTAAAGTTGGCAAAAAAAAAAAAACAAAAAACAAAAAATTGTTTTAGACCGCGAAAATCGTGTTCAGTGGTCGGCCGCAACATTTTAAAATACATGTGCCGGGAAAGATAATCGATATTTTTATCTAGATAAATGTCGGGTAAAGATCGTTGATTAAAATGTATCTAAGATGAACACAAACGATAAAATCTCTAAAATCTCGTTTTAAAATCTCTAGACAACACAAAATGATAATAAACATAATATATAAGATGATTTGTAAATACGAATTATTTTAACGAGGTATTCATAATTCAGATTTGCAGCATACCTGATATAATTCAATTTTAAACATGTAGTTACTATAGCTGGTCTGTTTAATAAATATTTTTAAAGTGGATACAAAACATTATATTACGGCGCATTTGAAAACTGCCGAGCTTGTTGCACAGTAAAAAAAAAAAAACCTATTTTAGTGAATGATATGTATAATTTACAATATACGTCATAATAAGTACCGATACTATAGATACCATCAATGAAATGCAGAATTTCCGCCCGGTTGTGTTGTTGAGTTTCTAATACAATTTTCAAATAATCTATAGGAAATGGAGGATTTTTTTTTCGATTTTTGGGCTTACAAAATTGGCCACAAGCTAAAAAGACGAAAAATAAAAATTGTTCTACAGACCAACACTCGAATATGTAACAATAATATAAATTATTGTAAAACACGCGCAATACAATAAAAAACACAAATAAAATTTTATGAAACGTACGGTGAAATATATTAGCTCGGAGTGTTATAATACATATTCTATAAAAAAAAAAAAAAACATCGTATAGATAAATAGATTCAGAATAGTGTGTTTTGATTCGCGCGTCGCTCCTAGTACCCGTTATAGATTCGCTTAAATATTCTATTTTACACGCCGTCCGAATTGTTCACCTGCAACTTTGCAACTCACACGGCACAATGTCCTGCGTTTGAACACTAAAACCTCGAAAACTATTTATTCATTTATTTTGTTTTTGTTTTTCGGTGATTATAATATAACACTGCACGCGCGTCATAATAGTAATAAAAATATTTGTGATGAGGAAACGAGGGGGGAAAAGGCCTCCGGGAGGTGATCTATTACCATCGTCACAATCCCTTAATTTACTGCGCTTTCTGACCACGTCCCGTCCGTCCGCCGCCCGAGCGTTATAATAGACGCGCGCCCACACATTATTATTGAATTAACGATGATATATAACAGTATTAAATTATTGTACGTATATACGTATAATTGGGTTTATTTGGCCGTCGACCTCGCGACCAACTCGACGTAATGAGGCCTCGAATTAATATCGCCCGCGCATCGCATAGTGCCGTTGCGGTCGTTGACGGCCGAGTGTAACCGTATTGCACTCGATTTCGGACGCGATTTCCATAGAATAATATTTCTCGGCTGCTGCGGTGTACACACGACGGCGATAACGGCGGCTGCGGCGGCGGCGGCGGCGGCGGGCGCGCGACATCTGCGCCGGCCGACCGCACCGAGTGTACACCCGCCGCGGTGCGGCGCGGAATCCCCGCCCGGCGGCCCGGTCGATCGGCGGGGTCCCGGGTGACCGCGACCACGGTTTGGTTTTGAAATGAAACGCCACCGTCGACGCCGTCCGTTTCATACGTAGGAAACTGCGCGGCGACTATTACGATACCGCGGCGTACGTACGCATATACGTATTATAGACGTGATAATAAATGATATCGTAACACGGGGCCGGCCGTTGCAGCGTTTATAGAGGAGAGAATCGGTGGGCGAGGGAGAAATGCCGTGGCGTCGCATCATTGTCACAGCGAAGAGCGGAACGTCCGTAAAATCGTCGGTGAAAACCGTTTCGCGGGGACAAGAACCGCTCGGGCTGTAATGCAATAATAATAATAACAATAATAATAGTATAGTCTCGCGAAAATATTGAGCGTAACCGTAATGTTCACCGCAATTAAACGGATAGCTTTGTATCGAGTGCTATTTTGTAATTTTTAGACGGGTACCCGTCGAAAATACAGAATAAAACACGCGGTTGTTGTAGGTGGGTGATTGGATGTACGGGATAATTTTAGTTTGTATACTGGATGAAACGATAAGACGTCGTAAATGAAAAAAAAATGATTCCGAACGGAGGAGTACAATACGTGTCTTTGACTTTTTCGTAACTCGTAAAAACAACCACACAACTGACAGTATTTTCCAAATTATTTAGAAGACTGCGACAAAAAAAAAAAAAAAAAAAAAAAAAATTAATAATAATTACGACCCGGAACACAGTTTTAATCGGAGCAATTTTTTTGATAAGAAAAACAAATTTGAAAAAGAAATCTTCAGTACTAGATCGGTACATTCTTTGTTGTGCTCGAATTTCTATCGTTTTTAAATACACAGTCGATTATATTATGTTTTTCGAACTCAAAAAATAATAAAACAGTATTTCACTAGTTTTTATTGTTGGGAAATATGTTTGAATAATTTTGAGTCGGTAAATTTTATATTTGTCGAACACTAGCTGCTCGGTTAAACGACACATAAACGTTATTTCTCCAATCCGCGAGCAATAAATTAATATTGTACCTGTATTAGTATATTAGATGCGGTTTATCGTCGAATAACACTGCGTGTATTCGTATAATGCACGTGTTTTACTAACATTGTTTAAATATTTTACCCTCGTGGTTTTTCAACGTGCTTGATATATATTGCAGAATATGTACAGTGACAATGTGCGGTGGCAGAAAACACCGTGTTACTGCAACACGATGTACAGGAATTTAAAAAGAAATGCGAAATTGTCGATATTATAATATAATATTATTACACGCATAGTTCAGTCAAATTAAATTGGCGTAGATGAAGTAGAAGATTGATCAGTATTACAGTCGAGGGAGTGTTATTTTTATCTTTTAGATCCCGAGTGGTGCGAGGAATATATTGGTTTTACAATGGTTAATACACATTTTTTACCAGAACGCATACTCCGAGTATCAAGTATAGCACCTTTCCTCAAAGGACATGTTCTCTGGGTGATAATTTAGAGAGGTAATTTTTTCAAGTTCTCGTTAAAATAATGAGATAATGAGGAATACCTCGGTCTTGAGGTTAAAAAAGATTGAATGATTAAAAATAACGTTGAAATATGATACATACCATCTATCGTATTGTTGACAAAGCAACACTATCAACTAAACTCCGCTCAGAATCGTTTTTTTTCGTTAACAATGGTTTATCGTTGTCAACAGATATACATTAAATTCCCGTCTCTATCCAATCTTCCCAATTTCCACCTACAACAGTGGCTGCACCCACGTGCGAAGTATGTACGCCTTGTCTTTTGGTTTTTTTTCTTTTATTCTATCGTACGCTTTGAAATTTTATTTCCTCTTAAACTATCCGATTTGCCTTATTGTATAGACGCACATATCGATATTAATTTTATTCCGCGAAAATTTAATTTGCCATTTTATCGTCCGCTCGCCGAATCGATTTGATTTCCGTGTACAGACAGCAACGGTGGATCTCGCAATAAATTCGCATTACCTTTATAATAATAACTATTATACACGGTTATAACAACGGCCAAAAACGATTTTCGAACCGGAAGAGTAATAAAATAAACGCCATGTCCGCGATGGACGCACAACTTACTGTGTTTTATCGCGGGCGCGTCCGATCGGTCTCCGAGGAAACGAAAAATAACAATACGTGAACTCGTATCGGCCGCGGCGGCGGCGGTTAAAAAAAAAAAAAAGGCCATTTGAGGGGGAGGCATTTCGCCCTCATTTACGCTCTGTACCCCGGACCCCATCCCCGGTGCGCGGCTCTGACAACCGTCCGACGCAGTATCGCATCCGGCGAGTATATATTGTACAGACGTCCCGTTATTCTTTAAAAGTTGATAATACATTTATTTATTTATTTTTTTTTTTTTCTATTCTTTTGAATCCGCCAAAATATAATATCAACAGTTTTGATTTGTTTCGCCGTATATCAATTAATATTTGTAGGCTATTGGAGAAACGACGAAAACATTGGGAACGGTCAAACTAGTCGCGTATAACATATGTGTATATTTTCGAGGAAAAATCGCAATAAAAATATTCACGAAATCGTTCGAAACACGTTGAATGTTTACATTTCCAAGCAGACAACGCGTTTTGCCAATGACGACTATACTCCTTGGGTCGCAGTAAAACTGTGATATTATCGGGAGTCCTCGCGAGTGTGATAATTCGCATCCAACATCGTTTCGTCTAATAGTGATTCGTACCCGATTTTTTCACAATTACCGTAACAAGGAAATTCGGCAATGTTAATAATTGCGCGGAATGACGAAAACCAATGGTTTCCAGTCCGGATGGTTTCGGTCGCCAACTGGGCGAGCGCGTACTCGCGTCGGACTTTCAATCGAAAATAAACCCATCCGGATTCGTTGCACGGACCACGTCACCTATGGACGTGCATAGGCAACAGGGAAAAAGTGCAATGCGAAACCGTCTGCTTTTGTATAATATACACGAAGTAACAAATACATTTTAAAAAAAATCGATGGTTATCGCAGTGATTGTTGTTTCGTTCCCGATCGTGACGTAATCTCGTGCACTGCTCCTTTGCGCTCTGTGCGCTCCAACCCTCGTTTCCCCGTACAATAAAAAAGAAAACAACGCATATAATATTTTCTGCCGTGAAAAATCCGCGTCCCGACCGCAGTCTTTCCCGCGCGCGCATTATATTCCGGGCTTCAACGTATTACGTATAATATAAATAAACGGCCGTCCATCACTGGTCTATTTATTGTGTTCCGGTGTCTATGTACAAAATACAGGTAGTCGCTTCATATTGTTAGGATTTACGGCGGCTTAACGCCGAGCAAAAGAAAAAAAATTCATAAAAAAATGAAGGGGAAGAAAAAAAAAATGAAAAATGAAAAGAAAAACCCGCGCCGAAAATAAAACGTTAATAACGTTTATTTTTCCATTATCGTTAAAATCGAGTTAAATAAATTGAAATAAATTATTCGGCGAAAAAGTTAACAGTTCACCGCTTTCGCTATAGGTATATAGCCGGGGCGCGCGCGCAATGATACAATTATTTCGGAAACATGACTTTAAGATTTTCGTTTTCAAAATAAACGTCGTCTGGTGTAAAAAAAAAAGATAAAGAACAAAAATATAAAAAAAAAAAAAAAAAAAGGAAAAAAACATCGTACGAATATACGAAAAATACGTGTGTACGCACCTACCGCGTACTTTTTGTACGACGGTTTTTATTTTATAAGTGTATTTTTGCAGTCGAAATAATTTCTTTAATTTTAATCATTTTTTTTTTTTTTTCGTTGTGTGTTACAGTGATTTTGGTGCAGCGTCGACTATGAGACCGCTCAAAACCGACGAAAAAATGAAAATAATCTTTTGGTCCTTTGGAAAAAAAAAAAAAAGAAAAAAAATGAAAACCAATTGAATTTTCTACGTTCCCGTTACTATTATATTATATTATATTATTATTATATATCGCGTATCTATTTGTATTTCAGTCGATTAATACTCGTATTATGTTTTATGTTTTTATTATTATTATTATTATTATTTTTTTTTATTAGAAAATAAGAACATGTTTTAACGTTAAATTTAAGTTCCCTTCTACGCCCCTCCCCGCCCGCCCGCCCCGTCGGATTTCTAGTCAAAAACATTATCGCGTGCCGGCTCATCTGTATAATTATTACGCGATCATTATCCTATAAGAATACGCCACAGGGAAATAAACAAATAATAATTGTTCCGGAAAGAGGAAAATATTATGATTTTGTTTTTTTTTTTTTTTTTTTCTGTTTTTGTCGATGTCGTGCGACGACGACGGCGTTTTGTTTCGAGACTTTTTATTATTATTTTTATTTTTTTTTTTTTTTACTTGCGTGCGTACACAGTGAGCGAGTATGTTAATTATGTGGAAAGTCGGTAAACGCATTATTTTGTTTCCATATAATTCGTGATAATTCGTGAATTCGTGATTTTAGTATAGGTTTCAAAAAATAAAAAAAAAAATAAAAAAAAATATTAATATACGATTAGTGGCCTCGTATTTTTTTCGACCGTGATTTCGAAAACGAAAAAAAATAATAACCATAATAAAATAATAGAAACATTTCGAAATCGGTCGACTTTTGAACGAATTAACGCCGCAGTTCGTAAATCGTCTCGAAAACATCATATGGTTTCTTCGCAGTTATTTTGGTAGGTGGCTGATTCTTAGGCGGCCAATGAAAATCCATAATCGAACGAAAATTAAAGGACAAGGGTTAAATCCGGTGCACATTCGGAACTATACGATGATAATGATTAACATTATTATTGCTTCAAAATCCAAACAATTTGTTGTTTTTTTTTATTTTCAAATTTAATCATTACTTAAACAAGTTTTAATGCTATACGCGTAAGTATACTATAAATGTACTTGTGTACATTTTTCAAACGCGGATCAGGTTATGCATATTAAGGGAGGAGGACGTAGGAGGGCTTAAGATTCTCCAAAATGTGTTGAACCCCCCTTCCCTGATAATGTTTTTAAGTGGTGTAAGATTTCAGTCCCTCTACAACACTTTTTAATTAATTCGCCAAACATCTATTTGTAAACTTTGGTTTTATTTTTGGTCGTGCAATTTATACATAAATTATTATGTACATATTTGGTGCTACAGATAGAAGAATGTAAGCAGTAGGCTGAAGCGTACACGAATAATTTCGCTATCGGATAGGAAAAAAATGGTAAAAATGATGATCCCTCCATCCCGCACTCATGACCAAATATCCTCCTATCAGGTTAAGTTAGGTTTTTCGCTGACTTTTTAATTATCGTTTTAAAATAACGTCAAAAACAACGGAAAAAACCACGTTCGCACTAAATCGTGTCCACTGCGACTTTCGATTTGATTTGATATTTTAATCGTACTATACGTCGGGAAAAAACAGGTGAAAAGCGCTATCGTCGCGCGCTCGTTCTAAAAAAAAAAAAGAAAAAAGAAATACTACGAGATGCTTACGATAATTCATACGACTAGACGGGTTTTTTTTTTCTCTCGAATTCTGTTTGATATAGATTCGTATGACATATACCTATACGACATCGATACACCCGGGGAATCGCCGACGAAATCACGAAAAACACGACACGCTCTGATGATAATGATGATGATAATAATATGTACCCTTTTCTGAACGTCCCGGAGTCTATTCGGACATCCGGTGTGCGTTCAGCAACCGAAAGCCGAAAAATAATAAAGTGCAGATACAGAGGCGGATCCAGATCATAATTTGTTTGTTTTTTTTTTGTTTTTTTTTTGAGTGGGGGGGACAAATGTAATTACAACAATAAATCTCAGTACGTATTTTTTTTAAATAATTTTATTAAAATTTTTATTAAAACGTACTTACTGTATTTCGCGGTGTTTGGGGATAGGGGGAGGGGGCGGGTTATATACGCCTCCGTCGCCCCCGTGGATCCGCCACTGTATACCGCACACTACTGCAGACACGAGCGTAATATTATTAAAAATTCGACATTGCCAACGCTTTTTTTTATTGTTTGTTTTCTCATTTTTTTCCCCGTACGAATTTCAAATAAGTATAATAATAATAATAATAATAATAAAATCACGAATTTTTTTATCATCACTGTCGTTGTGTAAGCAGTTGTATCCACTACTACCACTACTACTACTACTACTACTAATATTACAGTAAGATAATACGAAGAATAATAATTTGCGTATGGGTTTCCACAAAAAAAAAAAAAAAAAATTTCTTTTCTATACTTATCTATATTATTATATTCAACCGTCAGGCGATCTAGTCATGTTAAATAATGATAAATAATAATATTTACTTCATTTTATATTCTCAGCTGTGATAATAATATTATTATTAATTATAAATATTTAATATAATTTTTAATTATTTTTATCAATTATTATTATTATTATATATTCGTGTACCTATATTTTTTGACCTCCCCGTGACATTATATTATTATTATTATATATATATATATATATACTATTATATTGTACAAAACGTGTTAAATATAATTATTATTATGTATAATTAACCGCGAATACGTTTTTGCCAATTTTGTCAAATTTTTGTATAGAATGTTTTTTTTTTTTTTTTTTTAAATTTATTTATTTACTACTTTGTGTATTTTATCGTTATTAATCGTATACAATAAAAGAAATAAAAACAATAATATCTGTTCGTTCGAATGTGTGTTGACCGTGATTGTTTTATTACAATACAAAATATTCCCATTACAGAGACGAGGACAACGTTTATACATACATCTATACGAGTATACATAAAAAAAAAAAAAAAAACTACAACAAATAAATCACATGAATTTCATTAAGTTTCATTTGCCATATCAGTGTACAAGCAGACGCCGAAATCGACAAATAAGGTACACAGGTGACGAGAAATTTAAAAATATCTAGATTTATTTAAGAGATAATTGCTAGAACAAAACGCAGGTACTGTCTAGATAAACACGAAACGTAATTTCATTATTTTCATCGCTTACCTGCAGTCATCGTCGTATAACTAAGTACTGACCGGGTACCAGATATGATACGCATCTAGATTTCGAAAAGGTTTTGCGATTGATGAAGATATAAATTATAATAATTGATTAAAATGTATTAAGTACGATTTAAAACAACCGTTCGAGATTATAATTGAGCAAATTTTAACAATTTATTTCAGATAACGACTCGCATAACTTTTTTCGAATTTATCTGGAATAAACGGCTTTAAAACTATAAAAGATAAAAAAAATAATAATATATCTATATAAAACTATCCAAATTCATAATTTTATAAAACGAAACGCTGCAGATCATTGCACACGAAATATTGAAATTATTCCGAATGGATCTTGGTTAAACATTATTCCCTCCCTTATTTAAAGTTTAATATTTTAATAATTATTTACTAGAAAATTATGCATAATATTGTTCGTGATTTTCAACGAATTTTGTCAAAATTTGAACCTTCGACGGTAGTAAATAATGACGAAATTAATCCGAAAATGTTATTACCAACTTAAACAATGAGCGGTTCGTCGTTTCATCAAATTCTCGCGATCGCTCCGAAAACCTTTAGCAAACGCCCCAAAAACAAACTTTAATCTCAACGTAATAAAAGACGATAAAAAAGAGAACAGTTTCGCTCGTACTTTTTAAAAGTATACACAGAACTACAATATTATCGGGCTGAACTTTATTTTTGTATTATTATCTATTATAATAATACACGTGGCTTTTGGCACTGAACCGGCCGTAGTTGTAATACCATAACCCGAACAACAGAAATATTCACAAAAAGCCGGTCGCGGCGATTAAATCGAGTAGAAAAATCACCAGACTGACCAAACAGACATTTATTATAATCGGAAGCGAATTCGGTCGATTTAACCGACTCACCCAAGAGTACACTACATAAGTATACCGGAACAGTCGAATATGGTTTCCCCTCATAGACGAGAATGGCGGTCGTGGTGTTTTTTTTTTGTCGCTGTTGTTGTTTTAAAGGGGAAGCTTGAGTCCTTTAGAGATTTTTTCAGTTCTCTCTTCCGCCAAAGGAAAAATAAACGTAAACGGTTTCCACGCCCATTTCTCCTATACATTTTTTCTCGGGGTTTTGGAGTTAGTTTTTTACAATACGACAATAATTATTTATATAGTAATTTTACTTTATCCAATTTCACCTTTTTTTCTTTTTACTCTTGGAACCTAGAACACATGTGTCAGCTGTTAGTTCATTTTTTATTTTACATACATTTCGAATTGTTATTATATTTTGTTTTATGGTTAACTGAAGCGTGTAAAGTAAACTCGACGGTATTATTATTTTATTAGAACTTATCAGTTATGTGTAGATAAAAATACATACATACTATCTAATACATAATATACAATATAATATATCGAAAAATAACAAAAAAGGAAAATATTTATTTTACTGGCGAATATTATTATATTATATTCTCGGGATACTACCATCTAGAGAAATGTTTATGGTATGTCCGTTCGGTATGTGAACATTTTTATTCTTTAAAAATGTTCTTCTTGGACATAAAAATAAAATAAAAATACTTTTGATTAATAGCCTATACAAAGATATGTGTATGATATAAATGTATAATTTAAAAAAAAAAAAAAAAAAATTAAGCCTTAGATTTAAAACAGTTGATATCATCCATCTTCTTGTATCGATCAAAATAAAATACTTTTAGACTGATAAATTATTCATACTCCCGAACAATTGGTGCGTTTTACTCGATATCCACAAAAAATATCTTATACTCGAATACCTATCCACTAACTATCTATACATTATTCACGTAGTCAATACCTAATAGATAACGATGTTACATTTTAAAATGAAAACATTATATGCATACTGGTTAATACAACAGTAGTGCACGCAGGATTATTTTTCGGGAGAGGTTTTGTTCATAATATTTTTTTAGAGGGAGGTTAGCAAATAATATTATCGGTTCTGTACCTATCATTTGTGTTGCTGAAAAAATTATTTTTGATGAAATTAAATTTTATTTTATTTTGTAGTATACGATATTATGATGTTGAACGTAAAAGTTGATTTAAAAAAAAAAAATGTAGCGAAGGAAGACATTTCGGAGGGAGTAATGACCTCCTCATGTTATGACCCCCTTCCAAGAGGTGATACTGTATACAATAGTTTAAATCTAAATTAACCAGAATTTGAAAATAGTTTTATTTGTGAAGAATGAATGGACGATATCCTTTACACAAATAAATCGTTTGGAATAAAATAGGAAATTGTAGGTAGTGGCCGGCAAAAATTATTTTTCTAGATCAAATTCCATATACAGTCAATGTAAAAGCACATTCTATTGGAGAATTTGCAGTAAAATTTTGTGGAACTCGCGATTTTCGTTGGGTGAACCGTGGACAAGTAATTTTTTTTCATGAAGGGGATGAGAAAAATATAATAAAAAATAAAACGAAGACTATGGATAAAGAAGAATTTTAAAATAAATGTCTTGAAATGGGCAGTCGGATTGATCAAAATTATTATTTTTCTGCCATAGATAATTCCAGAATGATTAATGCTAGACCTAGAGAAAATATATCGAGATTTTTGAACTACTCATGTGAACCAAATTGTGTAACACAGAAATGGATAGTGAACGGAAACACTATAATTGGACAGAGCTGATGTTTGATTACTGTTCGGAAAGGTTGCTGGGAGTTGAGAAAACGTCTTGTCAATGTGAGACTGCTTGATGTTCTAAATTGATTGGGATCAAAGTGGTAAACTAATAAAACAATTGATTTTTTGAAGTGATATGTTCTGCTGGGTAAAAAATGTTTCTCTCATATTTTTAGATCTTAGTATGATGTTTAGAGGTTAGAAGCATCAAATTTAACAGATAATAGCAATATCTAAAAAAATAATTAGTACATAAAAAAAAATTTACTTCTTACAAGTTCGTGGGAAATTGAATTTTTGAAATTATTTATGAATTTTCGACAAAACTATAAACTATTTTCAACAATTTAATTTTTTATTATCTCTAAATAAGATATAAAGGGTTCAACGTTTCGATTATCTGTGTATTCCTTTTCATCTGTTTATTATTTAAACTGAACATTAAAAACAATAGAATGGTTTTTTTTGGTTATTTTGATGCTCGTTAACTCCAGAAATCGTTTTAAAATTTGAAAATTCGAGAGAACGTTTTATTCGGAGCAAAAGAAAAAAAAAAAATATAAGTTTATTCATCTCGAAGAACACCTCCTAATGCCATTATTTTTTAATTATATTTAAAAAAAAAAAAAAAATACTACATCGTTTCTGAAATGGATTAATACAATATGTCCGTTGCCAAATAGCACTTAATGATAAAATAATTGTTTAGATACAAGTCGACGCATGACAATTTGATTTTTTATAGGTAAAGAAAAATAATCGGAAATTAAAAAGAAAAAAAAAAGTAATTTCCATCATAGAACTAAGTGCTAAAAAGGTGCCAAAGCTGATACAAAAGTTGACCGACCAGAGGGCATCAGGTACCGTTTCGCCCTGTTATGAATAAATTAAATACTTGCAAAACTGCATCACTATAGGGTCAAATTATCACTCGTCAATTTTGAATACAATAAAAATATTATTTGAAAAACAATAAATAAACAAGAAATGTCTAGAAGTAGTGAGAAAAAGATAAATAATACGTATACAGTATATTATAGAACAGTCATAATGTAGTGCAATATTGGTCGCTGTTTTCGAGGAAAATTCGTGCATGAACTGAAAAACCACGTAATTTGTTGACATTGGTAATGTATTAAAAAAAAAAAAAATGTTTATTAATAAATGTATACTTGGAAAATCTCAATCAGAAGAACACGAAAAAAAATGTACAATCCCAGTATATATCGACAAACTGTACACATTCTCCATTACTGTTTGGCGTACCAATTTTCTACTCGTACTATAACAGAGATAATTTAATACGGTCTAGACGGTATATCAATGTGGGTATTAAGGGATATACTAGATACTGAATTATTATCATATTTTGATGACTATTTTATTCATTTTTTTTTTTTGGGTGACACTACTGCTGCTATTGCGACACTCGGTCTCTTTAATTAAACCCAATTAATCCCCTTGTTATATTATTATACTGGTATATTACGAGGGACGTTTCGGACGAGACGCGTCTCCGGGGCATTTGTCATCAATTCGGGGTCGCCAACCGCTTTCCGAGAGTCTCCGGAAAATAATCCAACGGCGGTAGGAAAAAAAAAAAAAAAAAACCTAGATCCAGCCGGGAAAGAAGGAAAATACATATATATATTTTATTTGGTGTCGGAAGACGACGGGGTCTGGTATATCGTTCGCTGACGAAGGAACAAAAAGTTTCTCGTTTATCTCTTTTATTGGACTCTCGTCGTATATATTGTTCGTCAAAGTTTTTACCGTTTAGTCCGTTTCAATATACGTGTGTTTACCATCACCGTCACTCCCACGGAAATTTCATATTATTATCTGCTGCGGTGTACGATGATAAATAAATAATAATATTAAAATACTTGGATAAAACAGGATAATTACTAGATAAATTTAAATATTTGAGAATATTGAGATGGTTGCTAGAACATCTAAATCAAATTTTTATTTAGATAAAAAAAATAAATCAAGTTTATTTTAAGTTAAAAGATATTTTTTTTCACTGTCTATCAAAAAAATTAAATGTTAAAAGTGTATCGAATATTTATGGTGTCGGCTGGATTTCAAAAATGCCGAATTACATCAATGGTATAATTTTAAAATAAATTCATTAGCAGTTATAATATAAATTAAATGTTTTACCTATTGTATAAAATTCCGTTGATATTGATTAATATGTTTTATGCACATTAATCTGGAGAAAGTTTACTTATTTATAGTTAATTAAATTATGTGTATCGGATAGCGACTAAGATAACTTATTAACTGTATAAGATAAAATATGAAATTATATCTGTCCAGATAAGACGCTGAGCTGAGTATTACGACCGATTCTTTCATTACCCGATACAGTGAAAGTCAGTATTTTTTTTTAATATACTATTAAAAAGAAGTGTCTATTTATATACTTATATTTGTTAATTTGTCAGTGCGTGATGTAGAACCGAATATATCGCACGCGTAGGTCTAAAAAGGCACGTACAAGAGTGGACGAACGGGTCGGTATGTACCTTAAAGTTGGATTTCCGCAATTCAACCCCAAAAGGGTAATTGGCATAGTAACACGGGGTCTTTGGTATTTTTATAATATTATTTAAACAATTTTTTTTTTTTTTTTGTTGATTTATGAGTTACCTACCTTGGCGACACGAATTAAAAAAAAAATAAATAAAGTTTTTATTAGTTGGTTCTGTTGTCACGAGAGATGAAGCATCCTGTTTCAAATTTTTCTCCTTTGCTTTCGTCCCAACAATTTGAACTCGGCCGTTCTCGTCCTGAAATTCTACTTAATCCGATATTCCACCTGGTATATACTGGTTATATTTTAGTGTTTTCAAATCATTCACAATCGCATCCAATTTTCCTACGTTTATTTTCATTGATTCCTCTCTCTCTTCATACGACATGGCTAAAACATCTCGGTTTATGTTCTTTCATTTATCTACCATCCACCACCACGCTTATGCTACCTAACCTATAACCTACCTATAGCTCTGGTGGACTCGTTCCTTATCATTTTTTTTTTCGTCAATTCACTTACTCTTTAAAAAAAAAAAAAAAAAAAAAATGAATTATCGGGCAACCAGCGTTTACTGTGATAAGGACGGGGGCATAGCAACGGGAAGAGCGAACAGTGAGTTTTCAGATGCCTTGTAAACTAATATTCAGTACGTCGTACTGTATCTAAATGTATATAAGTATTATATAATTTCGTAAAATATAAGTAAATAAATAACGGCAATCGCAAGAATACGGCGAGCTTTCCAAACGATTCTCGTATTATTATTATTATTTTTTTTTCGTTTGCTACGTCGTTTGACCCGGTGACGATTTCCGAAATCGAAATATCGGCCGTAATAAATACAAACGCAAAACTAAAAATGCACGCCGGGCTACCGTTTAAAACGGTAAATGTTTTAATATATCTATATACCCGATATTTATTCGTTCGTTTTCCAATACGTATCATTTATTTTGTATTCATATTTCATGCTCGCGAAGTAAATTTATTTCCTTTTTTATTTTCTAAGTATTGACTGTGAAAACGGTTATTATTTTTTTTTTCCGGAATTAAAAATAACAGTACACGCTGTTTGTTCGCGTATACCTGTTACGCACTGGCTATAATATACGTCGCAATAATAATTATAAAACCTGCGTTCAATATTCAACTGTTCGCTTTACTGTGATATTTTAGATTTCCATACAATTTTTGCAGTTACGTTTTTATTTTATTAACAAATATTCTCACAGTGTACCCGATATAAATCACTCGCGACGTTTTATCTGGTTCGGAAACATTTTCGTTTGAATAACAATTCGTTATTTAGCGTCAAAACTATATAGCTTTCCTCGTTTATTCTTTCAGACAGCGTGCAGCGTTTACAATTTATACTGTGCGAAAAAAATATAGTTTCAAATGCGACATGCGTGAGTTATCTATTAGAAGGTGCGTTTGGCCGGAAAGAAATAAACGCGCAAATCGTATCGTTGTCCGTTGTTTAATAATTTTCGTGGTTTTACTACTCACTTATGTATTGTTATGTCTTTTCAAAAATTTTCTGTCAACATGTTTCGACTACGAAAATTACTCCAACATTATCAACGTCAAAAACGTTTTCGTCTGGTTGGTGGAGTGAGGAAGGCGATGAGGAGAACGTGGAAAAAAACCATTGGAAAACAACTTACGCGGCAACTCTTATTTATTTATTCTTTGAGTATAGGTACAACTGCTGTATAATTAAATAAATCATCGGTCGTGTAGATAGTCAATGTAATTCGACGTGCACAAGTGACTAATATAAATTAAGTAATACCAATGTACAAAATAAAAAAAAAAATAATGTCGACAGCAAAAAAATAGGTAATTTACTCCGATATGCGCATAACGAAGTGTATTACGAAGTAGTGCCACTGTGAGTATTCTTGAAATTTTTATTAGTCGACTGCCCGTATCCCTAATATGATTCGCTTGTTGTTATATAACATCCGAAAATAAAATTCAGTTAAAATCAGGTGCATAGGCGCCTGTATTACTTGGTCTTTTTTTATTTATTCGCTTGAGAAAATTTTCAAAATAGCCGTTTTGTAAAAAAATTTAATGTAACACACATTTAAATCCGATGAACAATTTCTGAGTTATAGCCGTTTTAATTAGTAAAACAATAAATATTCGATAAAATAACACGTTATGTGATAAGGAATTACAATCGGCACGGTAATTCTTTGTCTTCTATTGAATATTAATTGCTATCGTGCCTATATCTTATAGAAATTAAAACGGCTAGTTAATTTGAACTTATCAGGAAATTTTTGTTGATGAGATTTTAATTTTGCATACTTTCAAATTTCAAATGCAACTCATTGCGCTTATTGTGGTGTTTTTATGCATATTTAATGCTAAGCATTTGCTTTATTAGTGTTATAACTTCCGATCCCTCTGCTGCAGCAGTGGCATAATTGAGAACCACTACGGCTGAGTCCGAGCTTAAAATTTATTCTACGAGGAGACAGGTGAGCGGTTATTTCTGCACTTCTAATATTATAACATTGTAGCATTACACGAAATTGTTATTTCTGATTTTATAAGCAGCTATTTATAATATTTATATAATACAGAATCCCGTTTCGGGAGCGATCAAGGATCATCCGTTCCGTATTCAATCACGACGAATTGCACAAGTCTATAATAATAATAATAACATTTCTCGACAATAATTTGTCTCGGTGTAGGTACTCTGTGGATAAAATTATTCGATTAAACAGAAATACTTGAATGTTAAACAGAAGGTTCATTATAGTTTGTACTTTGTCGTCGTCAAAAAAAATTTACTTTAATGTAATCATTAATTTTTTTTTTATAATTATTTCAACAGAACGGCATTTCAAATTTTGTACAAACGAATTTCGCTTAGAACCATTTTTTATTGGCAATGGCTTATCTTTGCTTACAGATATAAAATCAAATACATGTATGTATCCTACACGGTATACCTTCTCGACTTCCATGCACCTACAACAATGGCGCGCCTATCGTCGGTATCGGATCTGTTTTGCATTGTTAGTGTATGTTTCAAAAAAACCTGAGTATAGGTACAACTGCTGCGTAATTAAATAAATCATCGGTTGTATGGATAGTCAATAAAATTCGACGCGCACAAGTGAGTTATATAAATTAAGTTACACGATTGTAGAAAAATAAAAAAAAAAAAAAAAAAAAGGGAAAAAAAAATGGTGACGACGACGTTTTTATGACGGGAAACAGGTAATTTAGTCCGATACGCGCGTAATGAATTATATTACGAAGTAGCGCTACAGCGAGTATTGTTGAAATGTTTGACAGTCGACTGCCCGTGTACCTAATATGATTCCGCTTATTGTCGTATAACATCCTATCGGCAGTCATTTGGACCGTCGAAAATATAACTCCGTTGAAATTCGGTACGTGAGCGGGTACCTATGAGCGTTTATTATTGTAAACAACAATGTATGTATGTATATGAAAAAAAAAAAAAAAAAAAAAAAACAGAAATACTTCGCACCACGGGTAGGTCACCGTTATAGGTGGGACGTAGGGAAGTGTAGGGTGTAAAGGGTAAAACGAATTGCATACAATTTAGTATATATTAAACGCTGAAGCCAACAGCACATCGTCACAAGCAAAAAAACGATTCGGAGTGGAGTTGTGCAGTAAACCGGTTAATGTTAAAGTATATCGGTTGTGTTTTTCTTCTTATAGCCAAGGTTAACCGGAAATCGACGAACGAAAACGAAACTTACGCGCCGTGTAAATTTTACTAATTGTTTAAGAAAAAAAAACAAAAAAAGCCGTCGAAAATCTAGAAAGTTTGTTTGAATAAGTTACAGCTAAAAGAAAAAATTTCATATTTCAAGGTAAAACGTGATCAATTCGGAGTGTTTTTATTAGTCTTAAAATTAATTTTTGAGATAAAAACTTTATCCCCCTCCAAAAAAAAAAAAAAAAGGATCTACAGACTGAATTCTTGTGAATTAAACAAAATATCACAACCGTAATACACAGTACTAATAGTACCGGATGGAAATTCTGCATTTTTACTGGGGTATTCCGTAAAAAAATCTGAGCATTTTATCCAACCGAACGATTGTCTCCCGAAAGAGGAAAATCATCTCAGTAAAACTAATACAGTTTCTTCGCTACGCAATCAAAGTACCTATTCTATCTACCTAACATTTTGTGTTATATTTTGACGTAATACATCATATTATTATTAATTTTTTAACACGAAACTATTTCACGTGTGCATTATGTTATTTTATAATCCATTAAACAGATTTACGTCTTCGGCTTCACTTCCGGTTAGACTTTACGAACTTCAACCCAAAGTTTAAGTGTATATACAAGCATACGGAAAGTTTGGTACGTTAATTTTGAATAACAACGCTAGTCAAAAAATGTTTGTTTTACATAATACATATTTTGACGTATTTTAGTCTTTATGGGAAAATAATAAATAGTCGCGACGCTGGCTTGGCGAATTAATGGTTCGAAAACAAATGTACGCACATTGTTTTTACGAACGCTGCGAATTTATTCAAATTTTTTTTTTTTTTAATGTTATTTTCCGTTTGTTATCCCGAAGTTTAAAGTTTTTAAGCCCTAAAAATAATGCGCAAAAACATAGATTTTAAATCTTTAGGGTTATTTCTTACCTATTATATTAAAGTCCACACAGCATTTTTCAACCGTGCCGTCTATGCCGATTGTATAAATATTTATATTTAAACATTACACTTTTTACAATTTATATAAAATAAAATAAAATATATTTAATAATTATATTGTTTATAAATATGTCAATATTAATACTATTTTTTTAAATTTTTTCTGCCGAAAAACGATTCTGGTTGAAGGTTGTAGTTATAGTTTAGTTATATTTAAAAGGCCATAATCCCACATTTTTTCCCGATGTTTCCTATTTATTATGAAAACATCTGGGAAAATCGTAAAATGACCTTCTTAAAGTACCACCCCAATCGGATTTCCTTTCAAGAAAAGTGTTAAACTTAATAAACTGAAGCAAAATATTTGGCGGAAAAGACGTTCGTAGAAAAAAAAAAAAAAAACATTATTTTAAAACCAATACATTCCTCGCACCGCTCAGAATTTAAAATGAATATTAGGATTAAATTTTTAGAACGAAGTGGGAAGGTGATGGGTTTCGGGATATGTATATCGTACCGCGTGCCCTAATGAACAAAGAAGTTAGAATGAAATTTGTCGGAGTAGTTTTAAAATCGATTCTTCGTAAAGTTACTATATATTGGTCCCCCAGGAATATCTATTGACATCGAAAATGTATTTTAAAAATACGATCTTCGTCAGAAGTTCGGCGGCCGGTATAGCCGCCCAATGATTGTAAATATTCTATAAGATAGCTCTCTAAAGTTGATAGTCCTTATTGGTTTTTTGACTCGGAGTAGGGAGTTAGCGTTGGACACGTCGACGTTTTTCAATAATTTAAAAAAACTTTGAGTTTTATTATTAGCTATTATTATTAGTGAAACGAAGAAACTATATAAGTTTTACAGAGATTTGTTTATTTTCTTTTCAAGGAAAATACTTTAATTGAATAGCAAAAATCTTCACATTTTCGTCTGTTGGTAATTTATTAGATAATTTTTTTCGAAAATTGCAAGACTTTTTCTATAAAATAAGTATTTTTTTTTTCTGGTTAAGCTATTTTATACACGCAATATTTAAATATTGCCGAAATCTCTGTACGGTAGTACTCTATGACAAACATTTGCCGATATTCTCATCAGTTTACTGCTGGGTCATAATTGTTGGTGTATTTTTGTTGATTTATGGATTATCTTGGCAATAAAAGAAAAAAAAAAACGACAGCTACTACTGCACTCAACAACGTATTTTCGTTTGAAGTGATTTATCGTTGCATATCGAGCGTGTTAATAATTATGTTGTACATCCTACTTTTTAACCAAACTACAGTGGGCTTACCCGTCAGCAGTACAAATTTGTATTGTTATTATTTTTACACATTTAATTAATGCATGCATTTGTTTTTCAAATCCGTTTACCGCGATATTGATGAGGATTATTTGCTCTGGTGGCCTTTCGACGATACACGCACTTAAATTACCAGATTTTCTCGGGAGGCCCATAGTGTATGGCATTCGAGACGTGATCCGATTGAAAAAATTATATAAATACAAACCTTCTGTAATTATGTATTAATAATATGACACACGCCCATCTCAGTACGTTAAGTGTATACTGGCATACAGAGTGATCAACATATTATAATGGGTGTCTTACGTTTTCGGTTGACGCGATATTCTGCTTTTAAGTTTCGGCAGGGGCAGAATGCGGTCGAACACTATTAAAATTCCACGCGCCGTGCCACCGCAAAAACGATACAACGCTCCTCTCGCTAAAACTGAAATCTTGTTAATAATCGGTTGACGGAAATTAAAATTTCAACGCCCAAATTGATTCGAACCGCGTCACGCTTTATTTATTTATGGAATTTTTAATATACAGGTTGCCGTCTGAAAATCCAAATTATAGGTAATGGTAATTCAACCTTTAAAACAAGCGTCTCGACTTTTACCACTCGGTTTTTTCGCATATTCGATTTAGAATATCTAAAAAGTACAATCTAAAAAAGCAGGCGGGTACCCGTGGTTTCGAAAAAATCGAATTACTTCGCACAGCACAAAATACTAAAAATAACAACGAGAGTATCGAAATATACGCATGCATATAATATTTGTGTAGGTTTTTTTTTTTCCCCCGCGAAATCGTAGCCCGCGTATTTATATAGTGATGTTCGGTCGATAAAACGTATTCGGCATGTACGAAATTCAAACGAGAATACACGCGTGGAAAACCGTAAAAAAAAAAAAAAATAAAAAAAACAATACGTTTATTATTATTATCACTATCGTAAGAGCGAAAAAATATTATCTAAAAAGTAATACGGAAAACAACGACCGTAAGCCGCTGTCGGTACCGCGAAAAACATCTCGCGCGATTCGATAGAGTCCCGGCGCGCCTGGTTGTGTGTAGGATTTGTTTTTATTATTATTTGTTATGTTGTTTTTTTTTTTTTTCATCGTTCGGGCCGTACAGCGCGGCGGCGCATACACGTATACGGTAATGCGAATTACATTTATCATAAAACGTTATTATATTCAAGGCGTTTTGGGTCGCGCCGCGTACAGCGGAACGCGTTATATTATAAAAATCGCTCGTGTATACGCGTGCGTGTGTGCGCGTGTGCGCGTGTGTATATATATATATATAATACGTATAATATAAAAGCGAAGAAAAACAAACGAAAATTCGTTATCTCCGTACAAATTGGTACGAGGCCGCGCCGCCGGGCGAGTTATTGAACTAAATTTTTCATTTCCCCGGAAAACGCGTCGGTAACGCTCCTTCAACGATGTTATTATATTGTACCGCGTTTTATGTACGGCGCGATACTGGTATACAGGATGGTCTCGTTGGTTTTGTTCCGCGATTCGCGGATCTCCCCGGATGATTGTGTAAGTGCGCATTGTACATTTTCGAACGGAAAATCAAGCGCTCGCGAGCGACACTAGAGCTCCGTCACTGCCCCCTCCCCCACCCTCCTCCGTCCGCATCTATTGGAATGTTCACGAAACTTTATCCACAACGATCTGACAGAGATTTCGGTGGATCCATTCGTAAAACACCAGTATACTGAGAAAATAAAACTTGTTTTTCTTTTCGAAACCAGTAACCTGTGTAATGGGACCCGACTGTCCCAAAATAACTCCTACAAAATGATTTTCACATCGTTTTTTATCTACTGTTTTTTTTTTTTTTTACGCTATAGCACTAATGATTATGATTTTCTAAAATTATCCCTCTTGCATTTTAAGTGTTCCTTGGACACGGAGATAATGAAATCGAAATCACTAGTCCATGTTGGTCATAATTCCTACACCAGAAGTGCGTAACTACCTTATAATGTCACGGTCCCCTCAAAGTGTGGCAACGAAAAGATGTAAAATTCCATTTGAGCACTACACAAGCTAACGCGGATATCTTAGGGATAATTTAATCTGCTTCTGTTCTCTTTATAACTGGAAGGAGAGTGATGGAAACATCTGTTTGCTTTCTGTTTGGAATGTTAAAAATCCGTGGCTCCGCTAAGATGAAAATCCTGAAATCTAATGACAAATATTAAAGTTTTATAGGGTCTCCAGTCTTTTTTATTTCCTTTGCCTTCATCCAAACTATTTGGAGTCAGCTGCACGTTAGATTAACCTCTGTGTCCTACCGTTATTTTCTCCAGTTTCCCTGAACACGTTACTGGCCTAATCTTCTCGCGTTCTAGCGGCGGGTCTGGAGTCGTCCGCGCGCTCGTCCGCCATAGACACGCAAAGGCTCTCGTCTTCACCGCCATTATACACGCGCATAATACGAGTGTGGCTGTAGAATACATCCTTTATATTATCATATTATTATGATATAGCACACACACACGCGGGCATATTATTATATTATAATAATATACTACGTACGCGATTATGTACTCGGGCAGTAAGAACAATAATAATAATAATACGCGCGTAGGTACACAATATTAATATTATTGTGTGTACGTACGTACCTTTCCGCCACTCGTACACCTATAATACAACAACAATAATAGTATGTGTGCGCGCCGAAATGCCAACAATGTGTTGTTGTTGCCGTGGAGTCGTTGAAAAGACGCGGCGCGACGATATTAATCGGCATTTATACGTATTGTACTAACGACGTCGAGTGCCCGTTGAAAAAAAAAAAAAAAACAACAGTTTATTATGACGAAATATCCGGCCGCGGTCCTCCGCAGTGACGTATAAGGTATAACGCTGCTATAATAACCGAGTGGTGACTCTTGAAATTCCGGCCAGAAATACTATTGAAAGCTGTCGTACAGGCTGCAAATTGTAGGCTGCTAGAGCTAGCGGTGCGCGCAGGAGGCAGTGGTTACGGCCAGTTTTGCCACCCCCCCCCCCCTTAAAAATACAACAACTGCGAGTGTTTATTTAGTGATTTTATCTTGAAATTGTATTGATTCCGCCCCTAGCATTGAGTCCTCTAACGTAAATACCATTGTGAACAATTCTGAGCGGCGTTAGTTTTATCCCCCTCTCCCCCCTCCTCGAAACCAAAACACATTTGAAAATCGTAAAAAATAATTACAATTTCAATATTGAAATTAAACTTTGAAAATCCACCTTTAAGAAGCCGGACTCCCGTCTGCCGTGTTCGCTTTTATTTTCGAAATTTCAGATGTCTTCGTACTGAAACAGATGTTGTCGTAGATCGCAGTACCGTCATATTTTGTTTTCAGTTTTTAAACGTTTTAGAAAAACTGTTTTGAGAATTTTGAACAATTTTCAGAATAAAACATCGTAGCATCATCGGGTAGGTATTGCTGTATTGCGGTGTATACTTTAAGATAGTGTTTATAGCAGCGGTGCATTTCCAAAACAAATTGTAAAAGTAATATTCGCTGTAAGAGAAAAAAAAATGTCACGGGAGAGGGGGGAGGGGGATTTTATTCAATACAGATTCACTTCCGTCGGCAATATAATCGAAAATATTCTCGTCAATCTATAAACTCGGTCGGTTTTCACAAATTTCGCAATTGTTTCGGGGCACACTGTCGGACATATTATTATTATTGGGGTAAGTGTTTACTTTTTGAATTGCAAACGATGAATCACCGGGGTCGGGGTTGGCGGCGGGCCGGCCAAGCAGCTGCCAACCGATATTCCGTTTTATTTCCAAAAAAAATATTCCATCGGTACATTTTATTTTAACGTGCCTAAAGGCCATAAAATTATACAGTCGGCTATTTTCGTGTTTAATATAATAAATTATTATAATTTACCATAAATTAGCAGCACGCTATACTTACCGAACCGAGACGGACCGAATGGACCGATTGAACTCGTCCAATAAGAGACGTCGACGCAATATAACGTAGGTATATAATATTTTGTCCGGAAGAAAAAAAACGTTTCGAATAGTTTTTATTATTTTTTTTTTTTATTTTGTAGTGATTACGATCAAATTCGTTTTTTGTTCGCGATCGGCTGTTCTATTTTCGACTTGTATATAAATAATACAATACGGGTCTCGCGTTTATTTTTGTCGATTTAATTGTCCGATTACGCGATAGTTTCAGTTAAACATCCATTCCGAATCGTTAAAATAGTTTTTTTTTACTCAGAGTTGTTGTTGTCTGTGCGATATTCGGCGATGATTCGTTCAACAACGACGGTATTGTACAGCGATATTTTCCGGTAAAACTAAAACTGGACAATTTTAAATGGTTATAAATATTTCGAAAATCTTCAGAATCCCTTTAAAATTATTCCGTGTTTAGAAATGACTAATATGAATATATTCGGTACAAATTTCAGGTTTCTGCGGAATATTCCGGTTCGCGAGAAACAATTCAAGTGTTCTATATTAATCTATCTTGTTCTAGTTTCGTCGGAGCAAGATGTCTAGTAGAATAGTTGTTAACACATATACAAACAATGGCAAAATTATACATTGGAGAATAATATGCGGAGCCAGAAAAATTTACTTTACTTCTATCATCTCCGGATATTCTTATTCTTCTTCTTGTCCCGCTACGCCAATATTTCAGCTCGTTGTCTGGACTACAAATAATTCTGTTTTAGAATATAATTTTCGCCTCCGTTTGGATAGTAAATCTATATAATGTACAGTGTACTATAGTCAGTTACAGTCTACACCTCAACACTATGTTCGTATGCTAACGTTGGTCCAACAATTATATTGCCTTGAAATGGTGCCCTTCGGTTCTTATTTAGAAAAGCGTCGATTTGGATGGCTTAGTAAGAGCAAATTATGCCTTTTGCAAGTCAATTACCTATAGTAAGTTTAAAAATACGTATTTGCTTGGCTAAATTCTCTAAAGCCATACAATTAGTTTTTATTACTATTGCAATACTAATAAAAAAAACCTAAATAAATAAAAATGTAGACAATTTACTATAATTGTTTTATAATGAGCATAATAATAATAAAAATAATAAAATTTTTTTTTTTTATTGAAATTCATTAGGTAGGTACATAATTTTTACTGAAATTATTTTTTTAAAGTTTTTTTGGCTATACGAGTTTACACATTTTTTTCATTTTGCATATTATTATTATTGGCTCAACTTATTTATCAATCATAAAAATTTAAAGTTTAAGTTTTTACTCTGGTAGCTATTTTTTCGTATTTTCAATCTAAGTTTTAGCGAAAATCTAATTCCAAACTTTTGGGGAAAAAAACGTGACAGAGTTCAAATAAACTGAATTTGAAAAAAAAAAATGATTAGTAAGAAAATAATATTAAATAAAATTGATTTTATTAAATAATGAATACAGTATATAGTCGTGAAATTCAATTTATTTTGTATAATATAATAGTAACATTTTTGACAGATGAGATTTAAAAATACCCTGTGAAACATAACTCTAAGGATTTATTAATACTTGACTCTAGAATCGCATTTAATTGAATATTAAATTAATCATTTTTCTTTTTTTAATCTTAGTACAAATATAAAAAACCCCTTTTATGAAAACAGTGAATGTTTTACCGATTCGCTGAATTATAATTCAGCGAAATTATTTTTTGTTTTTACTCTGTTGGGTGATAAGATAAGATAGTTGGTAAATCTTGCTATACTCTTTTTACAATATTTAGCCCCATTGTCTTAACCTCGAGTTTTGACTTTTATAGTATGAAATGCACAGCCCTCCCGACTTAAACAAATGTACCATTTCATTAGACAAACCTTCGCCCGATGTGTTATCAACGATTTCAAAACATATGGATCGTAACTGAATTTCAAGAGCGGCAGTTTCTATGTCCGTAGAACATACGATAACTAGAGGTTACGACTGAAAACGCAACTATAATGTACGTACGTGAAAACGGAATCCGTGTACACTTGAATGAAAAATTTGTATTCGCGTATACGTATCGCTCATGCATTTACTATACCGTGTTTACGTGTTTTAGTGTTATTCACGTGAAAACGCAGTGAAAAATAACGCGATATACGCGAATATAACATGCGTACACGTAAATAAGTACACGTGTGCACGGATTTTTTCAGTACCGCACGGCATTTTATTGATCCAAAATAAATCAGTTCGTTTTGAGTACTATCAGATATATATCTGTGCATACCTTTTCAGTTCCGTCCGTTTTGCGATTACTATTTTGAAATACGATCTATCAGCACGCAGAATCGAACTTTTCCGTTGTTAATGCGAGGCTTCTAAAAGCGCGGGACTTTTTGCGAGCGCACACCTTGCACCGTCTTCAAGCCGACCCTGCATCTGACCATCGGGCCACCGTCCAGCAAACTAAATACGCGAAGCTGCCAGTACATCCCCGTGACCTAGTTCGAGGGGAAAAAAAATCTGTCGGTTTTGGTAGGGTTTTTTTCCGTTTATCATTTTATCACGGAAATAATACGACGACGACCATTCGTTTATTTATTGCGTACGGCGAAAGTACCAAACACGTCATACACTAACACGCTAAATTATAACGTATCATAAAAAGTGGTACGATACGAAAAAAAAAAAAACTTATAAACAGTTATTAAATAATACAAAATAATTGATACAAATATCAGCGAAAAAATAATAATGATGATTATTTACGAGCCCAAATCAAGTTCATTAAACCGTTCTACGGCGTCGTTTGGTGACTCCGCATTACTGTACCTATAATCCCTTGTTCGAACAGCCTCTCTTATTTGGACACGGTTCAACGACGCGAATTATAACGTGTTCCGTTTCTTCGCGGTCGCATGTCGCACTTAATGTATCCGAATCGGTTCCCGACCAAGCTGAACTGGTTCCCGTTTTTTTTTTTTAAAAAAAAAAGGTACATTATTAGGCGGGCCGAATCGGTTCCCGTTTTAATACCTACATTAATACAATAAACACAATAAATGCGTAGGTAAAATGCAGCACGCCTGTAAACTTTTATCATACTACGGCGGGTATTCTATAGTTATCAAGGTAATAAAATAACGTTTTATCGGCGTGTTGCCAAAACCTACCGCAATCGAATAAGATAACGTCAATCCGTCCAAATATATGTACGCACCTATATGGCTATACAAACCTAGTAAAAAATACAAAAACGTTTCTAGCATTAAATCTAATTAATTGAAAGTCGACAGTCCTAAGCCTGTTAAAGAACGGGCAGGGAAATGTGCGTATTCGACTATCTCACTGCGAACAGTGGGACCCGATTCGTCCAGTAGTTGATACATCACAAATTTAAACGGCAATCAATTCGGTTCACCTTCATAAAATGCCTTTTTCAAACGGGAACCAATCCGGTCACACTGGAATCGATTCGCATGCACCCGTTGCACTATCCTTACATTCCAACAAGACGGTATCTTTCGTGTCCTCTGGATCTGACACCGTCCAGTCCTGTTCCGGTAAGTGTGTCTTCCGTCGGTATAACAGCACGCCTTCCGTATTCCGATCAGGTTTGACCGCGAGATCATTGTTTGTGACGCGCGGCATTTCCCACTCTTCGCCCCGCGCTTTTCCGCCACAAGACTTTGCGGGCATTGGGTGCCGTGTTTTTCTGGACGCCACGACCGTGAAAAAAAAAAAAACCTTACACTATTGTTATATTATCCGGGCGCTTGTTTTCTTATTTCCTTCCTTCACACGGACTCCGGGGGTCACGGTAGGTTGTTGTCGTCACGGCAGTGACTCGTTAGGTCGGCCGAAGCGCGTTAGGGTTTTCATTACCGTATTGAAAAATCACGTTGACCCGGATTACGGCGATCGTGTCAAATCGGTATTTAATTGCGAGTGGTGGCTGGCGGCGCCGCGGGAAAAATTCCGTGGCATAATGCGGCGGCGCACCGTCGTACTATAATAATAATAATAATAATGTTAATAAAATAAAATACAAATATATGGGAAACGGTCGGTCGGCGCAAGAATAAAAGGGTACGCGCGGGCGTAATGCGCCCGACGAGGATTCATTATTTTCTACTTAAATTCAATTTACCCGGGACAACACGTGCGACGACGGCCGCGCGACCGGTCAGTACGATTCCGCGCGTACGCCTTACCTATAGCCTCATAACCGACGTCTATAATAATACCCGTGTACGTGCGGGCCCGCCGGTGTAACGATATCACAATAATGATAATATTATTATTGTTTTATCATTTTTATGACCGACGGCGGTCGTTCCGGACGAGAGAAACTAACGATAATAAAAACGATACATTATTGAGCAGGTATCGGTAGCGTCGGTGCACACAGGGGTCCCGAGGTCCGCGGCGAACACTCGTTGTAAAGTATCCGAGGAATACCCCTGTACGTACGTTGTACTTTTCGAGAATTGGTGGGTAATAAGATGTATCGCAGATGAAAATTTAATTTTCTTTTCTTTTTGAGGGGGCGGGATAGAATAATCATAATAACTCATTGTGTGCTCGGGAGAGAGGGAACCAAGTCGATTTTCAGCAGTATGCCGACGACGAGCAAATTAAATTTTGAAAATATCCTCGAGAGCGATTTAGACCGGAAAATAAAGCGAGAAAACTATACAAAGGTAAGAAAAAATTATTATTAAAAAAAAAAAAAATTCCAAACATCGACTTTACTTGTAACTATTTTTTTTTTTCTAGCACCTGAAGATATATATAGTATAATATATTAAACTCCCGCCGCAAGAATAGGTAATCCTTAACCGATTGAGAACAGGGCACGGAAGATGTGGGCATATTATGATGTATAAGTGGAAATTAAAGGACAGCCCGAAATGTAATTGTGGGAATGACAGTCAGACTACGAGACATATTACAGACGAGTGTCCGAATAAAAGGTTCAAGTTGCACATCAATAGGCTTAATGGAGTTACGAAGGAAGTCATTGAATGGATTAGGACCCTGGACATAGAAATCTAAATTTGATTTCATATTGTATAATTTATTGTTATTAATTGTATTTATTAATGTTACTGCGTTATTATTGTCGCACGGATAATATAAAATGCGATATACAATATACAATACAACTCATGGACACCACTTATTATTTCGGAATGTATACATTTTTTTCGGACCCGGTCTTTTAAAAATTCGAAGAAACAATGTTAGCTCTAAACTGATATGTTACTTTAATTTTTTGTTCAACTTTATTCATAGGAGCGAAACTACTGAACACTTTTTACTTTTAAATAGCATTAACAATTCCAAACTTAGTTAAGTTTTAGTTTAAATATACATTTTGGTGTTGACATTTCAGAATCGGAACATAGCGAGGGATCTATTGATTTTTGGAGTGATATGATTTTTTTTTTTATGTCAGAGTGACTTCTCGACCAGTAAACTTGCCCCAATCAAAAAATGACAAAAAAACCGTTTTTATTGAATTTTAAATTTAGTTGGTGTATTGAGGAGATCATTTTTAATTTTCCTAGACGATTTTATGATAAATGGGGGAAACCGGAAAAAATGTATCGCGGTATGCCGTAGCATTGTCGATTTAATGATTTTAAGTTTGTACGCATTATGTTTTCTACCAGAAATTTTGTTTAATCGAAAAACGAAAAGACACATTTCACGTTGCATCTTTGATCTAGTTGTGCGAAAGTGAGGCGTTTTTTTAAACTTTTCATGCAATTTTCGTAATAATTATTGGATAAACCAAAATGTACGTAAAATAAAAACTGACAAATTTATGGCGCTATCGGTATCGTTACCTATTTTAAATGTTTACGAACCATACTTTTTATCGGAAATATTGATCTCAAAAGAAAAACGACAAAAGACCCTTTTCTTTGCGTTTTTAACCTTTATGCTGTGGAATTAAGTCGTTTTTTGACTTTCCGTGCAGTTTTCATTATAAGTTGTACCTACTGAGTAATAAAGTAAAATAGTAGTATAATATAGTAATTTTTTTTTTATAGTTGTGTTGAAGATAATCTTTTTTAGAAAATCGCAAGTATTACAGCCTTAGCAAAAAATCGAAAATTAAAAGCTAAGTAAGTGGTTGAAATTAATTTAACGTTTTAATTTTTAACTCGATAGTGGCCTTTTAATCTCGTTAATACTTCTATAAAAATATTGATCACTTGGTATTTTAAATATTTTTATACAATGTCCGTATTATTATTTTATGCTATTAATAAACTACGCAAATTTAAAATTGTACATTATAGTTCATAGTTGTTTATTACGGTAAAATAGATTCAGAAAGTACGATTTAAAGTTTACTGAAAGGAACCATTAATTATTATCTTTAAAATTTGAGTTTAACGGTAAAAATATCAACTTACGTTTTTCGTTTTTTTCCCCTTGGAAAAGGGGAAAACTGAACTATGATCCAATATTTCCATGCCATCAAAAAGGTGCGGATTTTTGTCAAATGGCACTTTATTTAAAACATTTATCGAAATGTTCAATAGAATACCCTCCAGGCCTTGTTTTGTTTCTTTTTTATTTTTGTTGATTTCTGGATTACCTCAAATATAAAAGAAATTATGCGGCTAATATGGTGAACTGGGGAAACTATGGTCATATTGAATTATTTAAAAACACGATCAGTAAAAAACCAGCTTTCCGTGTGGAATGTTGTCATCAAATAATTAAATATGATGTGTAATAGTTATCAGTTAATAATTTCCACCAAAAAAGAGTTTTTAAAAAAAACAAACGCCATTTTCAAACACTTTTACGGTAAATTTCTTTTGTTAAATTTTTATTTGGTTGTATTTTAATTAACATTTTAGTTCTGAGGATAACGAATTTGTATTCAGAAACTGTAGTTTAATTAGTCATTAAAATATTTTTTATGCATTTCTCGCAGTTTAGAATGGAAGAATAATGGTAATAATATATAGTTAACATTTAACAAGCAAATTTTTTATTTTTAATTATATTTCAGGATTTATAAAAATAAAACCCTAATAAAAACTAATGACAAAAACTAATAATACAACTTTTTATTTTGAGGATATATAATTTTTTTTACGATTTTTCCCTATTAATTTGCACGGTTACTTCGGAACCTGAATTTCTCGTACCTGGCGGGAGGGTGTATTGGTAATTTGTATAATGGGACCTACCCGAGTGTCGTTGGAAGAACGGTGTGAAGAGTGTGACCAAACTAAGCCCCACGCTTATATAGCTAGACCTTAGTCCATTCATTACTCAAATTCATTAAATTTTGAAAAAAAAAAAAAATAACTAGTTTTTTAGACTTGAAGATCACATTACACAAAACGTTAGTACCTACCAAATAAATTATAATAATACTATTTAGTGTTGTTAATATTTTAAAAATAAATATTTACACGTGTTTATATGAAATTATAGTGTTATTTTATCATAAACCTATATAATAATATACGTATAATAATAGTTTAGATAAATATAACAAAAACTAACGCGTAGCCTGCAGGGTACTAATTTAGCACACATGAAACATTTCTTCAAATTAAAACTAATTAAAAATTACCACAGTAACGGTTATCCGTTCGATCAACGATTGGCTATAGAAATGGGTTTGGCCAAAATTGTAACATATGACGAAATAACCGATAGGTTTTCAGAAGAAAATCCAGAAGAAAAGATTTTAAAACGGAACGTAAAACAATGTTTTTATTGTTTATCATAAAAATAAATGTTGTTCTAAACTAAAACGAAAACTAATGTTACAAAATATTATCATTTTGAATGTATGTTTTTCCATTGGTTTATGAATTGTTTATGCAATTTGTCTAACCACAGTACTGCATTAAATATTACATATTGAATAATATATTTCTAGTTCATTGTTCTCAATATATTCTCTTCAAGTTGAATACCGATGCCCCGAGCAAAAAATTATACTGCACCGGGCCCAGCAAATCATTCCACTGGTACTGGGCCTACCCGTGGTGCGAAGCGTGTCCACCTTTTCGGTTTTGTAGTTAATTCAAAATTTATTGATTAAATCAAATATAATATAATATCATAAATAGATATATTTTTTTTTTCCTTTTCGAGAGGTATTTTTCTTGGACATTTGTACAGATTATACCGTTACAAGTAGTAGGTATATTACGGGAGCGGTCGTATTTCTACGGTATACCGTGTCCGTGTCAAGCCTCCGGGCGCAGAGGTTTACCCTAGTCGAACGACGACATCGGTCGCGTCCCCTCGTGAAATGATAATCCGTCTGGAACGGTACGTATATATCGCTTCCGGTCATAAAGGTCTCGTAGGAAATAAGACGAGCGTGCCGAGCGAATGAAACGCTGAACAATGCAATACAATATTATTTATTTTACAAACCATTGATTTTTCGAAACTTTTACGTGTTGAGATGTATGCAATTTTCTTTTCATTGGATTTGAAAAAGTCTGCACTTTATTAAAACGATACACCGGGGAGGGGTGTAAGGGGAACATGGTACTATCTACGCGGTTGATAGACGAGAAAAAAATCATTAGTAAATGCGATTTTTATCAAATCCCGCATAGCTGCAAGATCGCACGTCTGCGATAATATACAAAAATGATCAAATAATAAAAAAAAAAATTTTTTTTTTTTATTCAACCATGCAACCAAGAAAAAACG